ATGCCCTTCGCCTAAGTGGTATTCCCTTGTACCCTGCTGTTATTCTTCTTTGCCTAATTGTAAATAGTGGTTTGTAACACTTGTACATTTTATCAGTAGCTTGTGGCACTTAAAAATATTTAAGTTTTCAATGCCTTTTGCCTCGTTATCAGTCTCCCTTGCCTTGTTATTATTCCATTTTGCCTAGTTATAAATGATTGGTCTGCAACATTTGTAAATTTTATCAGTAGCTTGTTACACTTAAAAATATATTAGTTATCAATGCCTTTTGCCTTGTTGTGATTCTCTTTTGCCTTATTGTTATTCCTTTTTGCCTAGTTATAATTGGTTGGTCTACAACACTTATAAATTTTATCAATAGCTTATTATACTTAAAAATATATCAATCGTCAATGCCTTTTGCCTCGTTATCATTCTCCCTTACCCTGTTGTATTTCCCTTATCTTAGTTGTAAATGGTTAGCCTACAACAAAGTTGTTACAACCTATTGGTCAATTGTATGTTATGTGATAAATAATGTAAAGGTCTCTTGACAACAATTGTGAGGAACTTATCTTGTCAACAATTGTATATTGGTGAGAAACATGTAATGACCATTATGGTTGAAATTAAAACCAATATTCATCCTTGATATAAGCATTTATAAAGTGAAATATACAAAATGAAAATTTCAAAATACTGTGTAACAAGGTAAGTACATAAAGTACAAAAAAGTTCTATCCTAAAATAATATGCACAACTTGGATAGCTCTTCTATCTTCTCTTTTTGCTTTAGTTTCGATCTTGATAATACAAACATGATAATGGGTTCATTTTCATTATTGGAATGATTGAAAAAGCCACCATATGCATTCAATTTTCTTCTTTCAGAGGTCTTCTTACATAAACAAATTAGAAAAGAAATTGTGGCCCTAAAAAGGTGAGTAAGCAACAGATTTATTAGCTCAACCTGCATAGCACAACATAATAAGAACTACTTGTAACATATTGAAAACTTATGCTTAAGCTATTAACAACACATATTACCATTTCATAATAGATTTATCAGCTCAACCTAAATGACACACAACATATTAACTAACAATTATTCATAGCATATTAACAACTTACACTTAAGCTATTAACAACATATTTTGCTATTTCATAATGGATTTATCAACTCAACCTACTTTTTATAACGGATTTATTAGCTTAACCTGAACCACATAAAACATATTAACAACTACTTATAACATATTGATAACTTGAGCTTAGGCTATTAATGATGCATCTTGCTATTTGATGACAAATTTATCAACTTAACCAAGTAGCACTACGATCTCGAATACGCCATTACAAATGCAAGACTTGTGACTGCTCATCATAGATGTACCACGTAAAGAGAGAAAGAGAGACCACCCAAGCTAATATACTCATAGAGAGAGAAAGAGACAACCTACGTGGCTTTACTCAACTAACAAACAATAAAAGACTGAATTAAATGATTAAGCAAAGAACACATGCAAAACCGATCTCATCATTTACCTTATTCAGCACGGTCACAGTAACAATAAAACTGAAGGTCAAAGCTAGGCTTTTCTTCCTTGACGAATTCCTACAGTCACAAATACCAAACACACTTAGAAGATCTAAGATGCAGCAATATGAGATGCGAGGATAACAGTGGGTTCTCATTTTAGCTACAAAATGATCCTATCTAGCTCACTTTTTCGAAGACGATCGCAAGAGCTCAGCTCGTTACCTTCACTGTGCGAAAATGGTTTCACTTTCTTTGTTCTTTCCTTTTGATTCAATCAAGGCAAATGGGTAATTTTACTTATAAAATTATTCACACCAAAGGACTAAGGGACTGCAGAATAATTTCTCTATTTCATGGGACCTAACTGTATTTAAGTTTTTTTTAAGTCTTGATTGTAATTTTTTCTAAAAATAATTTCTCACAAAAGGTACTTATTGATTGAGTTGATCCATGCATGTCTAACCTTAGAACCTTCTCTAGCCATGTAGGTGGATAATTTTCTTTTTTGGCCAACAAAAAGTCAATTTTATTAATATGAAGAAATTATTACACTCACTAATATTGACAAAGCTAGAAAGCAAAAGAAAAGTAAAACCTGGAACAACAAAATCCAAAAATTAAAGAAAGCAAGTAAACCTATTACTTGAGGTTTAATTGAGGTTGTACTTGTAGGTGGATAATTGAAGCATTAGAATCTTCAGCAACCTTACTTAAGAACAATATAATTGAATATGTTTAATTTGACTTAACCACACTGGCACGAGATCGTATTTCTTTAACACATCATTTGGGCAATTCTATAAGAGATAAATGATGGTTAAAGACCTGGAAAGAGTATTGTAAAACTTATAAAATTTTAATTTTGAGAGAAGGAATGAGATTTGCAAATTATATAAATATGTTAAACTCAGATATAAAACTAACCACCGATACATCTCTCAAAAATAGCATTAACTGCCTTGAAGGCATACCAAAAACCTTCATTGGCATCACCTTGTTACTTCTAACAACACTATTGTAAATCAAGAAACTGAATCATCTTTCCCGATGACAAGTCTCTTTTTACATAGCTAGATCAAAGGAGCCTTTAACTTTCCTAATCAATCTCATATCCTAATTATGAGAAGTCATTAATTTTTCTGATTTTCTGATTATCTGATATTCTAATAACCTAGTCCTAGAAGTTAAGGCTCATACGAAGCTTGTACCACCGTCTCTTCCAAAACCCTACAAACTTCCATCCAGTCTCGATAAAAAATATCACACTATTTGACTTCTGTAACTTTCGTTTATCTTTTGACATTGTATTTGACAGAATCAGCGTGCCAGCTTTCAAATCTGTTGCGACGGAATAGAAAGGATATAGAAAAAAGATTTTTTGATGATCCAAATCAAACAAAAATGGCTTGCTCGATTGCTAGATATCGGCGCCTGTGGAGATTCTAAGCTAAGTTTTCTGCTATGAAAGTAAACTTATAATTGGTGAAAGCAATAATGTCTTGTGATTGATCTGTAAAATTACTCCAATCGTTTATATAGTCCTCGTGATGAGGTTGCTCATGGCCATATTCAGTGTAAGTACGTCACAGGAAGAGGTTGTTCATGATTTGTTTCAACAAATAGCGAATTTGTGTTATACTTTAGTGAATCAGTTTTCCTTAAAGGCAGATTTAGTATATATGTAAGATTTTTCTGTTAAAGTTGAGGTTGCATTTAATATTTTGTTTTCTTCATGCTTCATTTGGTTAATTCTAAGTAATTAGCTAGCTATCACATGAGCTCATTTTGACTATTGAACTAATACATAAGAGTATCAGAAATCTCTTAGATGTTTGAAAATATCAGTAAAAAATTTCCCATTTATTTTTTTAATACAAAACACTAAAAATATTGCAAAAAAAAAAACACCAAAAATATGGCAATCTAATTAATTTTGCAACCCTATCAATATATCAATAAAAGTTATGAAAAGTTTATAGTATATCATAAGATAACGTGATTTATGTTGAAAGATTTAACTGTACAAATACATGAGGCTATTTTAGTTATTTCTTCTTTTACAAAAAAGCAATTTTGTATTTAAAATTTTAGTTGAGGAACCTATAAGATTAGTTATATATCAACAGAAGTTTGGATAGCTCAAATCTCAGTTCAAATGTTAAAAGCTTATCAAGTAAATAAATTTTTTTTTTGGATAAGATAAATTGTGGATGAAAAGAGCTTTGGAAGATAGAAACTCGTGTAGAGTGAAGCTACAAAATTGAGCTTTAAGACATCGCATGGGTAAAGAAGAAAGAGAAAGCCATAAAGACTTAACTTTGGATATTATTACAGATAACCCACTACTTTTTTTTTTTTTTTGGTATGGAGTAACTCACTCTTGTTGATTTGTTCAATGAATTGCATTAAAATGAGATGCTCATTTTGTTAAAAAAAAATGAGCTGCTAATATATATATATATATATATATAATGTGTGACGTAAAAAATATTATTTTATTATTGGCATAAAAAATAAATGTAAAAAATTTAGAATTTAATATTTATAATTTATCACTAAAATTCTACCCTTTTAAATTTAAAATATTTTTAATTCATCAATTTATTTTTTATTTTACCTTTTGAAAAATTGTAATTTTAAGTTTATCATTTTTTTAAAAAACATTAAATCAGTTACAAAAATATATATAATAAATTCATGTCCATTTTTGTCATTATACATCTTAATTAGTTTTAAATTAAATTATTCAAATAAATTTCAGCTTGTTCAATTAGTTGTTAAAAAAATATATCCAAACATAAATCACATTAAAATTACATATTTTTTTAATCTCAATTTGCTAATCTTAGTTGTTTCTAGCTTTAATTATAAATTTTTTAATTCAAACACATTCTAAGTGTTGCAAGAGGTCAAGTTCAAATTCTTGTTAAGATAAATGCCTTCATTTAGTATCCAACCATACTTCATACAAAATTATTTGAAATGCCTATTCAGTTATGTTTTTTTTTCCAAAAAAATAATTACCCTCTCTATTTAAAGATGTAAGATATTTTTTGAGGAGTTAAATATTAAAAATATAAGATATCTTTAATCTTTCGAGATATAATCATTACTCTTTTTTAAAAGTATCTTTATTAATATTAATTTTATATTTATTAAAGAGTGTTTAATAGAGATAAAAATAAAAAAATTATGTTGATTTAAAAATAGATAATTATTTTATTAAAAAATAAAATTTAATTAAAAATATTTTATATTTTTGAAGTGAGGGTATGTTTTAAACATATATTAATTTGAACGGTAGCCGCGCGTTGGAAGCTCGATTTCGAAAATGCCGCCGTTTTATTCCCGTAAGTCGTAACCAACTAGTAAGGCAATAACTGTCACTCTGCTACCTAACTACCATTCCAGGTGAACACGACGACTGACTGGTGAATTCCCTCCACTTCACTTGACATCACTTCCATGGGACACCTTGTCTCTATTTCATTCTCCATTTTCTTCTTAGGGTTAAGGTTCTCCATTTTCCTCTGCTTCGCTATCAGAGCAGAGGCTCGCTGCTTGCTTCACTTCTTCCCTATACAATGGCGGACTCACATTCCGCTACATTTCCACCTCCTGTTGCTTCCTCTTCTTCTACTGCCATTCGGGATCCTTCTGGAGCTTCTTCGTCGTCCACTCCAGGATCTTCACGAGTCCCCCGCCAAGAGGAAAGTCGAAGTCATCATCCTCGATCTCAATCCCCTGGTCGAGAGCAGCATAATTTAAGCGTCATCGATTGGACATATCAAAATGCGTCTTCAGTGGCCAGGGATGATTCATGGTCCTGTATCGTTGTTCTTTTCACCTTTTGGTTCTTCGGTATGGATTTCTGTTGCGGATAAAATCACACTGAAGTTCGGTTTAAATCGTCCTTTGATTGGATAGATAATGCTGAAATTGTGTTTCAATATCACAGTGTCGATGACTATGATACTTGGAGTTTACGGGTCAATGAACCTCCTGCTTGGTCCAAGTGCTTCTCTTCTTCTCCAACCTAACCCCATATTCGTCCAATATATAAAGGTTAAATTCTCGTTATTAGTTATTACTATTTGTTTTATCTTTACTTATAAAATTATCTGAGCCTCTGATTTGAGTTTGTTTGCATTAGGTAGAAAGCTTAGATTCGAAGCCAGGAGTCATGCTCTATGGTACATACGGAACCCCCGCTCTTGATGTTTTCACTATTTGGACTGAAACTCGCAATGTAACTGTTCCATCTGAAGGGCATGAGGTAAGTACTACCCTTACATAATACTTCAGTGCAGATTTCACTAACCCACAAAATGAAGAATATTTAAATGCTTGTTTTTCTGTGTCATTGAAGACTGAAATCTTTGTGGTCGAGGTAATAATTTTCTTGTTCTCTACCCTAGGAATGGAAATATTACCTGAATGAAGGGTCTCAAGTAAATATTTCATATCGCATGAGCTCTGAGAGCCCCTCTATTGTTCTTGTAATTGCAGAAGGTATGCCTTCTATAAGAGATACATGTTTGGTGGTTTTTTTCTTTTTTCAAATTATCAGTCATATGAATACGGAATACCGCATAGTTAACACAGGTAGCGGGAAGTTGTTACACACTTTGCATCAAGAGAACTTCTGTAGAAAATTCTTGATAATCAGCTAGACCATCTGAACAAGTGTAACTTAAAAAAGGATCGATTTGGTGAAATCTATAAGCTTGGATTGATAACTGCTTCGCAACAGCTATAGCATACATATCTGTACCAAACCATGTAATGGACCGAGTAACCTAACTCCAAACCTAATTGGCAATTCACAGAAACATCTCGACACACCTCGAAGAGAACACACACTAGGTAGCGAAATCTGAATCCCTGGAAAAGTGCAACCACCTTGTCTCTATGATATTTAACACTGAAACTCATTTCACTTTTTCATCCTTGCTGTGTCTTAGTATCTTTAGCAGAGTGTGAGCTTCCCATAAGGGCATAGTATTTGTACAATCAGAATTATACTTTACTGAGAAATTATAGTATTGATCTGGCAGCTGTAGAATTGCTCTTGGTTAGGGATTCCCTTAATATACTATTTAAATTCTCTTGAAATATTACTTTGACCAGAAAATAAAACTTTTTGCCTCCTAAAATATACAGGGACTAGACTTTAGAAAATTCTTTGCATGAATATTTTTCCAGTTAGAACAGTTCTACCTCTTGCCAATAGAAAAAAGGTTTGGAAACGTTCCACTAACCTCTCTGGAAAATTTTTACATCATCACGATTTGGTCCCTGACCGAGGAAAGCAAGTCTGATAGTTTTAGCAGGCCTTGTCTGAGCATGTTTTGAGTACAATTCAGTTAAACATATAAGCTGCAGAAGTAATTGCTCTAGTATAGTATTAAAAGAGTCTGCAGAAAAATAAATTGCCCAGTCTAAGATGAAATATGAAGAAGATATCCCGCATACATGGAACACAGTATGTGAAAACATATCATAAAATCCTAGAAATGATTGACCAATTGTAGAATTGATCGTGGCCCATTTTGGTTTCTCCTAACGAGTTAAATGCTGAGACTCTAAGTAGTACAATTTTTTATAGTAACCTTGCAAACTCCTTCCTTGTTTTTGCTATCGCAGATTTCATAGGACTTGTAAAACCACTTTACGTTGTTTACATTGTACAAGAATCTATGGTTGTACCAAATATTTTCAAGAATAAATTCAGTGAACATGTTATTCGGTTGCCATTTCTTGCAGGGGATAAAGGCCTCTCTCAGTGGCTGGACTATCCATCATATCCTAAAAGCACTCTTTCATGGAACATTATCCATGGTAAGTTGCAAGAAAGTGGTAAGAAACTCGATCAGTGTTTATATTGATCCTACACTGATGTTTATTATTGTTTCTTTGCAGGAGCTGGTATGATAACACAGGACATATTCAGTTCATCGAACTATTATTTGGCACTAGGAAATCTGAACGAGGAGGAGGCAGAGGTATTTTTGCAATGCTTTACTTTCTAGTCTTGTTGCGTTATTTTAAATTCTCTAAACGAATTGAAATTGGCAATTTTCTTTGATGATGAGTCCATGATATGCCATTTTTTTTGGGGAGAATCAGTTGTGGCCTGTGGGGAATACCGCTCTCAACAACAATAACAACAAGCCTTTATCCCACTAGGTGGGGTCGGCTACATGGATTGCAAGACGCCATTGTGCTCTATCATTTATCAAGCTTTTAGGAATATTATTAATTAAGAGATCGCGTTCAACAACTTCCAAGAGTGTTCTCTAAGGCCTTCCTCTACCTCTCTTAATTGGACTCAAAGTTATATGTTCCACTCTCCTCACCGGTGCCTCCCTTGGTCTTCTTTGTACATGCCCAAACCATCTCAACTGATTTTCTATCATTTTTTCCTCAATAGATGCCACCCTCACTTTTTCGCGTACGTGCTCATTTCGAATTTTATCTTTACGTGTATGTCCGCACATCCATCGTAACATTCTCATCTCTGCTACTCCAACTTTATGCTCTTGCTGTCCCGTTAGAGCCCAGCATTCACTACTATATAACATTGCCGGTCTGATAGCAGTGCGATAAAACTTTCCTTTAAGTTTATTAGGCACCTTACGGTCGCAAATAACTCCTTTAGCTTTTCTCCAATTAAACCACCCAACTTGAATTCTATGTGAAATATCTCCACTAATTTCGCCGTCATTTTGAATAATGGCTCCCAAATATCTAAACTTTTCCATTTGAGGTATAATTTGATCTCTCAATTTCACTTCCAAATTATTGTCGAATATTCCTTTACCAAATTTACAATATAAATATTCCGTCTTACTTCTACTCAGACGAAAACCTTTCGATTCCAATGTCCTCCTCCATAACTCAAGTTTGCAATTAACCTCTTCTCTTGTCTCTGCTATAAGAACTATATCATCCGTGAAGAGCATACATTTCGGGATTTCCTCTTGAATATGTTCCGTCAAAACATTTAAAATCAAGTTGAACAAATAAGGACTCAAAGATGATCCCTGATGTAGTCCAATCTTTATAGGAAAATCCTTTGTTTGACCACTAGGCGTTCTTATACTTGTTTTTATCCCCTCATACATATCTTGTATGGCTTCAATATAAGCAATCCGTACTCCCTTTTTTTCCAACGCTTTTCAAAGCACTTCTCTTGGTATACGGTCATAAGCTTTTTCCAAATCAATAAAAACTATGTGTAGATCTTTATCTTTACAATGATACTATTCCATTAATCCCCTTAGTAGATAAATCGCCTCTGTAGTTGATCTACCTGGCATAAAACCAAATTGATTCTCAGAAATACTTGTCTCCAATCTCAACCTGTGCTCAATTACTTTCTCCCATAATTTCATTGTGTGGCTCATGAGTTTAATCCCTCTATAGTTAGTACAATTCTGAATATCTCCTTTATTTTTATAAATAGGAATTAATGTACTTCTCCTCCACTCATCAGGCATTTTCTTGGACCGTAAAATCACATTAAATAACTTAGTTAACCATCTCACTCTTTCTTCACCTAAACATTTCCACGCTTCGATAGATATACAATCAGGTCTGTTGGCTCTACCATTTGTCATTTTCTTAAGAGCTTGCTTTACCTCCTTATCACGTATTATTCGATAAAATGACAAATTTTATTCTCCTTCACCAGTTACTAAATCCTCCAAGTTACTAGATGAATACTCTCCATCATTGAAAAGTTTAGAAAAGTAAGTCTCCCATCTATTTTTAATTTCATCATCTGTAACTAAAATTCTTCCCTCTTCATCCTTAATACATCTTACCTGTTCTAGATCTCTTGATTTTTTTTCCCTACTCTTGGCAATCTTATAAATATTTTGCTCTCCTTCCTTCATCTCAAGGTTCTTATAAAATTCTTTAAAAGTTTTAGAACGAGTTTCACCCACAGCTCTCTTAGTTTCCTTCTTAGCCATACGGTACCTCTCCCAATTTTCTTCATTGTTACACAAATGTATGGCTTTAAAACAGTTCTTCTTATACTTGATTTTGTCCTGTACACTATTATTCCACCACCAAAACTCCTTATCTCTCGGACCAGAACCTTTCGATTCTCCCAAAACTACTTTTGCAACCTCCCGTATCTTTTTAGCCATATCCTCCCATATGATGTTAACACTTCCCTGAGATTCCCAAATTCCTTTATCCAAAAGATTTCGCTTGAAAATATCTTGCTTCTCACCTTTTAATTGCCACCACCTAATCCTTGGTGTTACTACTTGCGACGTTTTTGGATTTTACTCATAATACACACATCAAGGACTAGGACCCTATGTTGTGTCGTTACAGCATCTCCGGGGATCACCTTACAATTTTTACAAAGTCTTCTATCTGTGTTCCTAACCAAAAGAAAATCAATCTGTGACCTTGAGGCTCTACTTTTGAAAATGATGAGATGCTCATCTCTCTTCTTGAAACAAGTGTTGGCAATCTTAAAATCATACGCCAATGAGAAATCAAGAAGAGTTTGTCCTTCATTGTTTAGCTCTCCAAAACCAAAACCACCATGCACCCTCGCATATTGACCAGCTTCCCTCCCAACATGCCCATTAAAGTCTCCTCCAATAAAAATCTTTTCACTTTGTGGTATATGTCGAATCAATCCCTCCAGATCCTCCCAAAATAATTCCTTAAGACTGGCTTCTCTCCCGACTTGCGGCGCATAAGCGCTAATAATATTAACAGTCTCACGTCCAATTATCATTTTTAAGGAAATAATTCTGTCTCCAATTCTGCTAACTTCTACAACGTTCTTCTTCCGCTCCTTATCTATAATGATGCCTACTCCATTGCGTGCACTTACTTTTCCTGTATACCAAAGTTTGAAACCTTGAATATCCTTAGCTTCTTTTCCACGCCATTTTGTTTCTTGCAGGCAAAGGATATTGATTTTCCTTTGAATCATAACCCCTACAACCTCTGCAGATTTACAATTTAATGTCCCAACATTCCAAGTGCCAAATCTAATTTTACTCTTATGGACTAATTTCTTTAGCCGCGTGCGTCCAGAATGACGCGGTAGCCCTTACTCATTTAACACTACATCCGGACGCCGATGCAGCGGCTCTAACTCACTTATCACTGTACTCGAGCCATGCAGCGTGTTACTTACGGGCAACGACCTAACATTAACATTATAACGTCTATTGTCCATGTTCATGATAGATTCAACAAAGTTTTACATTGGCTGTTGATGGCCTAACACAACCCTCCTCCTTTACCCGGGCTTGGGACCGGCTATAAATATAGGCGGAGTTAGGGGGAATACCACTCTCGAATCAAGTTAAATAGATCCACTTTATCTAATTGTTGACAGGTCACTGAGTGTAGAAATGATCCTCAGCTGATCCTAACCTTGGATTTTTGAACTAAAACAACTGAGATACCTGGTTCTTTAACATGATGAATTCTGTATTATATTGCCGCCTTCATCAAATTCCAAGTTCACCTGAATTGTAGTTGTGTCTTGCACATTTGCTGCATCATGCATATTACTCACTTTGACAGACCAAGGAGTAACTGCAGACCTCAAAGGTTCATATTTCATGCATGAAAATTATGTAGGGTAAATAGCTTGTTAAAAATTATTTTCATCCTATGTAATTTTTTAATCCAGCATTTGGACACTTTCATTTCATAAGAAGTATAGTAAAATGGTATGGACGTAACAATAATTCTGGACCTGAGAGAGTTTTCTGAGTGTGGCAAAGATGATTTCTGATACAAATTCTATTATCAGATTTCACAAACCATATTTCTCATGAAATCTGGGTCAAGTTTTCCGGATGTAATTTTATGCTAGTAGCATAAAAACAGTGGTCGATTTTATTTTATTTTTCTTGACCTTCTCATCGAACAGGTGGAACTGATCATCAGAGTAAGGGCGGCCATGTATAATACAACTGATGCTTACTACAAATGTAATTTGACTAGTGACCCATGCGGATTGAGTGTTTTCTTTCCTGATGGGAATGCAGCCGTCTTAACATCTCCTGGACCACAACAGGTAAGCTTATTATATATATGCTCGAAACCAAAATAATTATTGCTCAAAGCTGGCGGTGGGGTTTGTCTTGGAAGTAAAATGTTTCTAATATAACTCAAGTAAGACTGCCAATATGATTCAGTCCCTATTCTTTTACCGTTACTTAATGTTTTCTTTTATTTGCTTCAGAACACATCCACAAATCAGTGGTATATCAAATTGTCCTATGGACCAAGATGGGTCACATATATTTTTGGCATGGGTATGCTCTTTATATGTTCAACTTCCTACTCACCGTTTGAAGCCTAATATGATTATATATTTTACAATTTTTGTCCTTCCTCCGCACAGGTGGATTGACTTTGCTTATTTTTTTGGCCTTCAACTACCTTAACAAGCTCCATTATTCTCAAGAAGATAGCGTAGGAGTTAGACATGAGGGAACAGTACCTCTAGGAGTCCCTTTGCTTTCTCACAAAGATGATGATCTTTCCAGCTTGGGTTCATCATATGAATCCATGTCACAAGATGAGGAGGATCTTAGCTTTCTTACGGGGGATTCTATTAATGGGAAGTCATTAGCTGATGGTGAAACCGGTAATAATACAAGGCGCCTCTGTGCAATATGCTTTGATGCTCCAAGGGACTGCTTCTTCCTTCCTTGCGGACACTGCGTGGCTTGTTTTGAATGTGCAACAAGGTAAGCAACAGCCACTTTCTCATGCTAGATCCCATTTTCTAGTTCTTTGTTTCATTACAGGCACAAATTTAGGTAATGAAAGTTTGCAGTGGATTCTTTACCTTGATTTTGACCTATTAGGGCCAACTGACCATTGGCTTGAAATTTCATATTAGCAGCTTAGCATGCTGCATTGGGATATACACAAAATGTGCCAATTTATATGGCATGATTAATATTAATGATTATATGAGCTTGGAGAATTTATGTTGTGATGTCGCAGTTGGATTAGAAAGAACTCTTCTCATCTAATCTAATCCTACCAAATTTCTACAGCGAGGGGAACTGTTGAATTATATACTCATCTTTGTCACTCTCCTGTAGTGGTATTTCACCACAGTATAGTAACAAGGACGGATCCAAAATTTCCACAGTAAAAACTGTCATTTGTCATGGATCTAAGGAAATGAAGAGACTTTTCTGCATTGCAAATAATTATATTATTCTTCCTCAATCCTAAATTATAAAACAACGTCAAAGCAATTTTTGCCCTTAAATATGAGGCAATTTGAGAAAACTAAAATTTCATTAATGATACTTTTTTAATATTATCCTTTAAGTGAAAAGAAAATTAAAATGATATTATAAAGTAATGATTAAGGAAAAAACTTATATATTTAAGGTATTTGTATCCAATTAAATTATGACATGCGAATCTTTTATAAATTATTTATTCTACAGTAAGTTCTTATTATTGATTAAACTAATATATAAAGATCCACATGTCATAATTTAATTAGATATAAGTATATTAAGTATATAAGGTTAAGTATATAAGTCTTGTCCAATGATTAATTTTATAGGGGCATTGTAAAAAATTTATAGTTTTGTTTTAAAAAGTAAGTTGGTAAAATGTCATTATTATTGTGTTTTATTGATATACATAATTTTATCTCAAATTGTTTTATAATTTGAGACTGAAGGAGTAGTAATTAATTCAATAGATCATATTTTTTGTGGCATGAATGTAATGAATCAGCTTACGCAGGTCATTATGTGATCATGTATGACCAATCTAATTTGTGCAGGTTAGCAGAGGCAGACGGTACTTGCCCTGTATGCCGCAGGAACATGAAGAAAGTGAGAAAGATATTTACTGTTTGAGCAGTGGATGCAGTGCGCAGTGTCTTGCGGCACAGACAAAAAATGAATGGCCAGATCAGAACCACAGATTTAGTTTGCATCTTATAAGCCACTGTTTTCCTGAAAATCATTAGCAATAATTGAGCTAATGGTAGCTGGTGGTGAGGGTAGTCATAGACAGTATTCATTGGCCATTTGCCGGACAGCCAGAGGAAATGAAAAGGGGCAAGGTGTGTTTTTGGTACATAATGAGATTGCTCTGTTTCTCAAATGACACGGGATACAAAGGTTTTTATGTGGATTTTTTGCCTTGCCCTTTTCTTCCTGGAATCAGGAAAGGCCGCAAGAGGAGTGCAAATTGCCTAATTTTTTCTTATCATTACACTAGTTTGGATTTTATTCGTATAATTCAAGAGATGATAATTTTTTGTGATTTATCAGAAAAATTTGAAGTATACGTTGTTAGGTTTCTTTGATAAAAATATAACATTTGAATTACGACACCACAGGATCGACTCTTGTGAAAGAAAATTCTTTACATGTTCTATTTATATGAACGAACTTGAACTTGATGGTAAATAGCTGAAGAAATTTATTACTTAAGAAAATAGAGAAACTTCCGGGTGTCCAATAAAAAGGGGGATAGGGGTTGGATTGAGCAAATTTAATAAACAAACTGGTCTGGTGATACTGAAATTTGAAAATTTTCATGATATTATCGTACCGTGTTACGGAAAAGAAAGAGCCGTCATGGAGGCAATGGACTTCTTGTCAAGAATCACTTGGCGACATATATTTACTAAAGATAACAGGTCGCAGATTTTTCTCCAACGTAAAAAATAAGTCAGTTTTAAAACTTTAACAAGACCAAGTTTGATATCTAATAACACATATTATTTACACACATTTCTTAGTCAATTAAGACCATTTTTTACACATATTAAGTGTCTATATATACATTCATATTACATTCTTTATGCAATTTTAACTAAGTGTTCAATTACATGCAAAAGAGATTTTTTGATCATAAAATGCACCTTTTCACCAAATTAACGTTAAGCCAAAAATTTACGTCTTTTAATGGACTAAGATGATTAGTCTAATTAGTTTTCATTAATTTATCCTAAATTGAGAATTATTAGTAAAAGAACATTTTAAGGTTGTCTTCCTAAAAATTTCCATTTAAGCCTTTGATTTTAATTTAAGTGTGTGCTTATTTATATTTGTGTCTTGTGAGGCTTTCACATTCATTTTTCCTTAGTCATTTTAATACTTTAGATGAATTAAATATTTTCTATCTTAATCTAATTAAATAAATGCCACACTATAGTTATTTAATTATTTGATTTAATTGCAACTTAAGTGAATTAGTGTGACAAATGAAGACAAAACTCAAGGCAATTGAAGAGAGCTTCTATAGGGCATATGTGGCATGAATAATTAGACTTGGAGAGGTCCAAATTAAGCTTAAAATGATACAATATATTGAATCAAGCCTATATTGTAATTAATCATCACCAATTTCCCCTCAAAATGCAAGTAGTTTTGGCCACTTGGGTAATTAGTTGAAGAGCACAACCAATTTAGAAGTTTTCATAACTTTTCTCTCATTTTCATTCACCCAGTTTCGTGCTTCACACATACAATTCAAATCTCTCACTAATTTTCCTGTCGTCAAACATTTTCCCTCACTTTCTTACTTGTTTTTCAATTTTTCCATTCAATCAATTACTTGTATCTTTCTCAAATCACACAAAACCACACTCATTCTTCTCCTCTTCCTATTTTCATCCAAACCCTCATATTAAATCAAGGATCGAAGGCTCATGTCATCATTGGAAGGAGATGAAGAGGGATGGCCTTATGGGTTCTTCCTTAGAGGCTTTGAAGATGATGATGGATTACTAGATTTCTCAATGGTCCGGGAAGGTGGATGGAGGATGAATCAATGATCTTCACATGACTAAGCTCTTCTAATTCTTTTAGTTTCTTTCATTTGATTTGATGGTTAACACCTTAGTTTAGGGTTATTCTATTATTGGTTTGTAATTCTAGTTGGAATTGATCTTGATGTTATGAGAATACGTGTTTGGTTGATTGAATTCTTGTAAATTTCCTTGATTAATTCAATCATCTATGGGAGAATAAATAATCTTGTGTTTTTTTCTATTGATGAATTTCTTACTTTACTCTTACATAGTCTTGTGGGTAAAGTTGAGACATCAGAAAGAATCACCGTAGTCTTGATTCAATCTAACATTAATTTGCCATGGTTTTGACTAGGTTTTTTTAACTTAAATACTTAGTCAATATAAAATCAAATTAGAGAAATAACCTAAGGACATTAGTTGATGACTCAAGGAATTGAACTAGCTGGATCATGTTTCTTAGGATAGTCTTCATAAGGAACTACTAAAAGGTCAAGAAGAAAAATTAATCACTAAAGCCATAAACATTTATAAAGATAATAATTCTTGCACTATCTAAACTCTAAGGTTCCACTTTATTAAAGGATATTCACACTTTAGCCTAGTTTTTTAGCATTTTAGTTTAAATTGTTAGTTAACATCTCTAAACTTTTAGGTAATTTGTCCACTAGATAATTTCACAATTAAATTGAGCTAAGGAGATGATCTAGAGTTGATCTTATACTATATTAGGGTTAGAATTAGAACTATTTTAATAGGTGTACGATCCACCTCTATCAATATTAGGAATTATAGGTAAAGAAATGAATTGGTAACTGAAATCCTTACTTATGCAGTTTGGTATGACACATTTAAGATTCCAAGAATCCTGATTCCATCAAAACTCCTGAATCCATTTCCATCCTCATTTCTATGGAATCATATTACTGTTCACGAAATCCAATGTTTGTCTCACTATTCATCCTTGTGAATGGTTCCGCTCTTTCTCTCTACCGTGCTCAAGTTCAGCTTTGTCAATACAAGAGAGCAAAGGCCCTCTTACTTTTGTTTCGTCCTCTCTTTCTCATTATTATGTGATTCAAAGCCAAAAATTTGATTTTTGCTGAAGGGGCATTTTGTTTTTTTTATTTCAAATATATATATTTATTAAAATTATATCAGGATTGTATCTTCATATCAAACATACTTTCAAAACTCATTCTATTCTGATTCTGATTCCAACTCTAATTTTAATTTCCTCAAAAACTCTTCCATCATATCAAATAGGGTTTAAGTAAAAAATATATGCTTTGTTTAATATAATTATTAACACTTAACTAGCATAAAAAAGAAGGCCTATTTTTCATGGAATTGCCACAAACGTTTCTAGACAAGCTTGAATACATGTTATGAAAAAATATGGTGATTCATCCTTTACTTACGGCCTGTAGAAATAAGAGCAGCTGAAGAAAGTAGTAGGAGACTCCTCCTACAGTAGCATACTGCAACTTTTCTTGTCCTTCTACTCCTGGGAAGTCTTCATCTTTAGAACGGTTAAAGCCTCCAACAAGCCATCCCAGATTCCTATAACTTCCTTCATACAGTTTTGACACTGCTATCATTGACCTATCCCAATCAACAAAACCAACAGTGAACTTTTTGGCCACTCCGTTTGATTCTAGCTTGGATAATTTTGCATCAAGTTTGGAACAAACCCCGTATGCAATACAAATGAAGAAAATTTCAAATTACTAAATTAATGAATCTGCAAGAATAGGGATAAATATCTTGGCATTTGAAACCCTCTTGTTTGTTAAGACAATTTGAAGCTGTCATACTAACAGTTAATAAAACTTCACATATGTGAGGTTCCCATGGCTTTTGGGTGGTATCTTAGATAGGCTACTGTAGATTTAATAGTAATGCTCCTTTGAAAGACAAAGTTTTTCAGAGCTGAAACAAAATAAAGAAAACTCGGTAAAATTTATTTTTAAAACAATTTTGTGTAAATTTGAAAAATAAAAATTACATAATTTCAATAAAAACTAATAAACATTTACTCAATAATAACTGATTGACCATATTTGGTATGCCCCATCAAAGTGTAATGTTTTTGGTTCTGAGTTCAAATGCTGATAAAAGAAGAGCCAAAAGAGGGTGAATAATAATCCTATTCTAGTTCTTCTTCTCTGATACACAGGTATTTTCCAACTGGAAACAACAGTGTTTGAGCAACTCTCCTAAATTCGAATATTGATTATATTGTCAGAAACTTGTCCATTCTATTAGATTCAACCCGTTGACAATATCATATTCTAGTTCTAGTGTGTGTGTAGATTAGATTTTTCAGCAAAAAAACATCAGTTAGATTATCACCTGAGACCTTCACCACAGGCCACGAGAATGCTGGTGTCCTTAATTGGAATGGCCAATTCCACTTGAGCAAGGAAATCAGGGTTGATAGCAGTGAGGTACTGTCCTGTCCACAACCCAATATAACCAAAGTGAACCCACTTCTTCAACAGAGTCACAACACCCCCATCCTTGTCTTCCACGAAGATTGGCACGTGCACTGACTCTTTGGCACGTGCTTTCTCCCTCTCCCACACTGGCCTCACGTCTAGCAGCACAAACCCCTCTGTGCTCATCGCCTTGCAAGCTTCGCTCGGTTGTATCGCCCTGACGGTGCCGGACTCGATGAGCTTCCGTCCACTGCTGCTTCTGCCGTTGCCTGGAGAAGAAGACGACGTCGCATTGATCACTTGAAACCTTGTGGCTCCCCTTATCATGGCTGTAGCCATCGTTCTTCCCCTCTGTTGTTGAAGCACCCGGACTTTGGAAGGGACGTGTTTGGGAATAGGGATAACGTTGCCGATATCTGATCAGACTTCCTGAGATTTCTATTTTGTCTGTTTGTTAACTCTGTTTCTTTTGAGTTATCTGTAACAATTTTCAAACATTTGATTGGCTACTCTCTTTTTCACTGTGTGTGCCAAGACTGCCCCGTTGTGTGTATGTGTGTAATTAATGAAGTACCAATGTGCTTACCTTGAGATCGAATTCGAGTACTGGAATGTCCGGTAGCATCAAAGTATGAACGAGGAACTCGTAAAACTGCCCATAATAATAAGGGTATTATACAGCAGGAAGTTTTTCAATATATAACGATGAAATCATCATATATATATATATATATATATATATAATGAGGAGTAAAATTTTTAGACAAAACTACATCAAAGAGTTAGTTGAAGTTTTCACAAATGTGTTGTAGATTTTATATGGGGAACATTACATCCAAGAACTTGGGAAGCACATTTATCACAAAAAATTAAAGAAATTCGAATATTGCTTTGCAAGATCAAAAAATAAAATATAATTGAAATTTATAGTGAAAAGACAAAATTATCCTTTTTATGTTTTCCCCCCTAAATCCCTCCACTTCATCAGCTGCTAAAATATCGTCAAAACTACGACTGCCTTCCACTAAATTGCCACCACCTAACTGAGTTACTAAAAGGAGTTGTAGTCACTAAGCTACCAATACTTCTTAGAAATACATAATACAACATTATATGTATTATTAACTTTATTTTTACTTTTCAGACTTATACATATCAAGAGTTTAATGATTACTTATCATTTCATAAATAATTATTTATTAAATTATTAATAAGATGTGTTAAAAAATTTAATTTTCACTTATTTTTATAATTATTTACTTGTTTTCATTATCAAAAGTTTACTTGTCAAAAACTTATTTAAACTTATTATTTTATTAAAATTTACTTGCCAAGTTATTGAGAGAAATTGTCAAAAATAGTAACAGGACTTGTTATTTTATAAATAGATACTTGTTAAATTACTGACATGACTTGTTAAGAGAAATTAATTTCCACCCATTTTTATAAATACTTGCTTGTTTTTATTACCAAAATTTTACTTGTCAAAAAGCTTTTTTTAACTTGTTATTTTATTAAAATTTACTTGTCAAATTATTAAGAAAAAAATATCAGAATTAATAATGAGACTTATTATTTCACTAATGATTATTGGTTAAATTATTAACAGGACTTGTTCAGAGAATTAACTTTTTCTCATTCTTATAAATGTTTTTTTTTCTTACCAAAAGTTTACTTGTCAGAAATTTATGTGAATATTTTATTTTACTAAAATTTATTATAAGGAAAATTATTAAAGTTAGTAACAAAATTTGTCATTTCACAAATGTTATTTGTTAAGTTACTAAAGAGAATTTGTTAAAAAATTTAGAATTAAGGGATATTTTTATCTTTTAATTTTATTTAAAATGTTACTAAAGACCCTAAACTCAATTTAAAATTAATTCTATCTCTCAACATATCAAATGTGGGTCATACTTTTTTTATATTTTTATAATAAAATATAAAATGTGGGGCCCACATCTTCTTTGTGTAAACTCCGGCAACTTTGTATCATCAAAAACAACTCACAAACTAGGATAGCATCATTACACAAACTCACAGGTAATCTTAAGGGCGTCCTGCTTTCTATCTCTTAGTCTAACTTTGTGAAGGTCTAGGACCTACATTTAATGTTTTATTATAAAAATATAAAAAAATTGGACCCACATGTTAAAGTTAACAAAAGTCAAGAAAGATATTAATAGGGATGCAGAGTTAAAAAGTTTGATACGTTAAAGGACATAATTGATTTTAAATTGAATTCAGAGTTTCAATGATTTTTTTAGATAAAATTAAAAGATAAAAATAATCCTTAATTCAAAAAATTAATATACATTACTTTTCATAAATGTTTACTTGTATTTTTTATTAAAAATTACTTGTCAAAAGTTTATCTAAATTTGTTATTTCACTAAAATTTATTCACCAACTTATTTTAGAAACCATTTATAAAATAGGTAAAATTTAAATTTTTGACAAGTCTCTATTAGTACTTTAACGAGTAATAATTTGTTAAATGACAAGTTTTGTTACTATCTTTAATAATTTCTTTTAATAATTTGATAAGTAAATTTAGGTGAAAAAAGCAAGTTCATATAAGTTTTTTGTAAGTAAAGTTTTGATAATAAAAACAAAATAACTATCTATAAAAATCAATGCTCATTAAATTTTTTAACAAGTAATCATTTTTGAACTAACAAATAACTATTAAATTCTCAACAAGTATTGACTTGAGAAGTAAAGACAAAGTTAAGTATTATATGATTAAGAATAAACTCTTTTAATGGTTAAGGAGTTTTGAGTTTAAATTTTCTTGACCGCCTTAAAAAAAAGGTTGATTTATTAACTTTACCATCCAAAGTTTTGACGTCAGCCATTGAACCACTTTCTGTTGGTTGGCGTCGGAGCTCCAATTTGAGTGAATTTTTAAAAAATATATATGATATTTTTGTTTTTTCATCATAAATTTTAATTATATTTTGGTGCTTTAGTTTTGCATGACAAATCTTAAAATTCTTTGATTTTCTTTTTTACTTTTTTTGTGATAGATATGCTTCCCATGTCCTTGGATATGATTTTGTATGTATATATGAACCGAAAATTAAAAGGTTGTATAATTTATTATCTTTAAAACTTACAACTATCATCATTTTTATGATGCTTATGAACGGGTTTCAAAAAATTTTGGCAAAATACTGGGTTTTAAAAAATATTATTTTTGAAAGCACTTTGTATTTATATTGTCCGGTATAATTTAGTAAAAATTTTCAGTTTTAAAGAATAGTTACCATTTAAGATTTTTTAATATAAACTTCTTAAAATTCGAGTCTCCAAATATAATTTTTAAAGAAATTTTTTAATTTTTAATTCTTTTATAATAAATCATAAATTATAAATCATATGAGTACATAAATTAATTTTTTAAAGAACATTTATTATTTTAGTGAGGTACTTCTTATAAAAAACTTTTATTAATATTATTAATTGACATTTTAAAATTTATTTATTTTAATTTAATCAGATAAAAATATGTTTTCATTTTTTCTCACTATGTAAAACACTTTTAAATAAAATTATATATACTAATAAAATTCAATAAATATATTTTATAATTTTATTTTTTAAAATAAAAATAAAATTTTTAAAAAATATTCATAATTTAATATTTTATTTATTAAACAAATTAAAGAAAAAGAATATAATAAAAAAATATAATATTAAAAAAGAATTATTAATATAATTTTATTTTTTATTAAGATATTTTATATTTTAAAATGTTGAATATATCTTTTTTTTATAATTTGGGAGAGAGAGAAGAGCGTATTTAAAACAAAATAGTGTTACTATTGTCAGTGTTTATTATTTCATTAGTACTTTTCAATTATGAATTCCTCGTATTTCTTGCCAAACGAATCGGGAGAGAAGAAACTTGAAGGACCTCCTGGAGTTGAAACATTAAAAAATAAAAACGGGGCACTATTCTTGCATTTTGTTTCTGGCCTCGTGCATTCAAATCTCGTTTCTCCCTCTTCTTCCAAACCCTAGATTACACTTACATGATTGGTTCGTGCTGGTGATTTCCATGTAAAATTTACGAATTGTGATCGTTTTCTTCGGCAATGGTGGGAAAAATAGACGCCACTTCGCGGGAAAAGCTTGTGAGTCTCGTGAACTCGGTTAAGTTGGCCATGGACATTCCATCCAAGCTCGATTACTTGCGGCAACTGAAGGTAGAATTGCCTCAAGAAGACCCCGTTTTGCTCACCGAGTTTCTTCCGTGTCTCTTCGAGTTTCAGTCCGATCGTTTCAGTCCAGTTCGCAAATTTGTCACGGAGTAAGCTTCCATACACCCAATGTGCGCGGTTTTTTTGCTTCTCTCTTTCTGAATACACCAATGTGTATGCTTTTCTTTTCTTTTTTCCTTTCTTGAATGTTTGGCATGAGAAAGGAAGGCTGCCTGGATAAATTAAGGTAGAAGTTGTTCATGGAGGGGCGACTATTCTGGTTTGTTTTGTTTTGTTTTTTTTTAATAAACGAAAGTTCAGGTGAGTTGGGCTTCGGGTTCACTATGGTCAGGCATGCTTTCAGGCTCAAAGACCAGCACTTACAGTGGGGCGGGGCTACTATTCTTGTTTATACATTATTCTCAAATTTTAGTCTTTTCATCGGAGAAGATAGTCCTCATGGACTTTCATCGTTTCCTTTGCCCATTCCTTTGGTGAAGGAATCTTATTATGTGTACAGATAGTGATCGGAGAGCTTTATGGCACTCTTGAGCTTGGCTGTTGTTCTGTTATTGTCCTTTTCATTGCCCATTTCAAGGAGGATTTCTTTCCATCCATTGTACTTTAATATTGTCCTCTTTCATGATCCTATTAAAAAAAAAAAGTTTGGTTTCCTTATGTTGTACGCATTTTGTAGTTTTTGCTCCAATCTCCCTCTCTTCTATTTCTTGTCCGCCCGTACATTGGTTGATGGATACCAACATCTGTGTGTGGCTTTTCATTTTGTTTTGTTTTCTATTTTAACTTTCCGGTCTCTTTGGCGCTAAGATGGCCACAGAACTCAATTCAACATTTACTGGTGGACTCTTGACTCTGTGTGTGTGCCTTTTGACTTAGAGTCTTAGATTCAAAGATGCCCCTCTTTTCTTGAACTGCAGGATGCTTGGTGAAATTGGATCTAAAAACACAGAGTTCTTGCCTGATATTATACCGGTGCTCATTGCTGTTTTGGATGATGATACACCCGCTGTTGTTCGTCAAGCTATATCATGCGGAATTGATTTATTTCATTCCACTCTTGAGAAAATTGCAATACAGGTGTTATAGTTTTAATACTGAATCTACTAATTCCTATCTTTTAATTCATTTCATTTTTGTTTTTTCCCCCTTATTGTATTCCTTGATTTGATGACATAAGTCCCTGGCATGCTTATATTCTTATCTAATAGAATTAAACTCATATTTGGTTGGTAAAATTACTATATTTTGTTCTATGATGTGTGCGTGCAAATGCCTGTAATATTACATGATTTTGTTAGACATTGTTACAGCTGGAAGATAGTTGCTCGATTCAAGGTTCAAAATCTTTATACTTAAATATCTAGCCATATATGTTATCCAATTTCTATCAACAGTCAACATTCTAGCTTAAGTAGTGAACAGGGCACATAAAAGCCTTAATAAAATTTTGAATGGTGTTTTACCAAAGAAAAAAATTGACTAATGACTGGTGAGAACAAATTGTAGTTATAAATAAGGAAATGTGAGGAGGGGGGAGGGGAAGGGGGTGGTAATAGCAATATATACTATTGGGGTCTTGATTTATTTATCCTTAAAGCCATTAAATACAACTTAATTTTTGCATTTTTATTTGTCTTACTGAATTTGTCTTTCTATGGTCTTACCTCTTTCTCATCTTTGAACTTATTCTATTTCTAGATTACTTTTTAACTTATGATCATAATGTTCTAGGGTTTATACTCAAGTGATCTGGACATTGCACTTGAATCTGCATGGACATGGATGTTAAAGTTCAAAGACAAAGTACACTCACTTGCTTTTCAAGTAAGTAACAATACTTTTAACCTCAAGCGGTCACTTTTTGGTTTATGGTCTGATACCTGTGATCTGTAAAATCTTTAAAAGCATGGTAGTGGTGGTGCAAAGTTGCTGGCCCTGAAGTTTGTTGGAGCAGTTATTCTTCTATACACACCAGATCCAAATGGTTCCTCAGAGCCCCCTCCTCATCAAGGTATTACATTTGGGGTTTGCTCATCCTCATAAGACTTGAATAAGAAGGCTGGACCAATTTGATTATTAAAAGTTTCATGTCAGCTCTCAAATAGATTGCACTACTGTTATTTACAGGAAGGCTTGTGGAGTTTAACATATCATGGATTCGCAAGGGTCATCCTGTACTCAACTTTAAAGATTTGTCAATTGATGCTAGTCATAGTTTAGGTCTCCTGCTTGATCAACTCAGGTTTCCAACTGTGAATTCTCTCAGTAACTCGGTGATTGTTGTGCTAATTAACAGGTATTTAAGCTTTTCCTGTTTGACCTTTGTTTTGCTTTGCAATTATATAAGCATGCCTCTCCCTAAAAGGAGGAAAAAAAGCATGTGTATGTGTTGCTAGAACATCTAGTACTCTCCTTATAGTGAGCAATCTTAGTTAGTGACTTTTGTTTGAAAGCAACAGGTGCCTCTGCCTTCACAGATGCTCTTGAGATTGTAGACATTACTACATCCTGCCTCTTCATTTTACAATATTCAACAGTTAACTTAATTCAAGACTCATTCTTTGACAGCTATTTTCATTGTCTTTACTAGAAAGTTATTCATTTCTGTCGACACTGTTTGTGAAAATCTGTTTTTCTTAATGTTGCTTGATTGTTCACTTTTTTCCACTTTCCTTTGGTCTATTCCCAGCCTTTTAGCGATTGCAAAAGACAGGCCTGCCTTCTATGGCCGCATCTTGCCAGTTTTGCTTGGTTTGAAACCGTCAAGCTCTGTTGTTAATGGGATCCGTGTAACAGCAGTACATCATGCGTTGAAAAAGGCCTTTCTCACTTGCTTGAAATGTACACATCCAAGTGCTGCTCCGGTATTTAATTTATACTAACATGTCTCAATATCCTGATTGTGTGATCTTATCATGTATTTTGCTTGTTGTAGATTAACCTTTAGTTCTCATCTGCTTAATGGAATGTGTAATCTAAGTTTTTTTTTTTTTTGACTTTTTGTTGAGTGATATGTGTAATCATATTTCATATATTGTGGGATAAGGCTTGTTGTCGTTGAATGATATGTCAATATCCACAAATACATACAACTTTGTACCATTGAACTTTCGCATTGTATTCTATGTCATCTACACCATAAGTTTATAGATTGGATGTGGGGAAAAAACAGAGCATACAAAAAATGCTTTGTTCTGGATCTGTCTGATACAACATTTTACAGAAGATGGTTTAATGCTACATGAAGAAATTTATTATTCTCAGTTAAGGCTGAAGCTCTCTCGAAGTGGTGGAGGTACATGGAAGATGTGTAATAATAAAATAATTTGCTCACCTGGTTGTAAGCAGCAATGCATAATTGGATATTTGGATGAATCACGATGCTTAATTAGTATGGTGTGCTATAGAACCTGCTTCTTTAGTCCATGACTTCTTTTCATGTAGGTTAGTAAGCCATCCTTGACCAAGACTGATTTTGCCATTTGCATGCCTTTGTCTCTTGTCTCTGTGATCGTGTAACAGGAATAAGCTTCAGACTGAGGTTGGAATTAAACTTGTAGAGGGATAATGCACAAGTCCAATTTTAAGACAAGTTTCGAGTTGTATAATTAATTTTCCTTGTCTCGAGTTTGATAGTCTATAAAAACATAGGGGATAAAATCAATACAAATTCCTGAATTAGTTGGCGCCTGTGTATATTTCTTGTTTGTGCCTTCTGATCAACTGCACATTTCATATATTTACTTTATTATAGCTTTATGGAAAACTGATTTTTGTTTTGGCAGTGGAGAGAACGTTTAGCTGGTGCCCTGGAGGAAATGCAGTCTGAAGGGATGGCTGATCAGGTGTTCCACCAAGTCTCTGAGATTAATGGAAGTATAAAGAAAGAGAAAGATGACGATCTAGATATTAAGGTATCTGGTGTTGAGTGTGTGATGATTGTTGAGTTTTTGCATGATGATTTATTCTGATCAAATTCCATGTAATGATTCTCCTTAATACTACAAAGGCTCCCATTGCTTCTTGGTAAATATGATCATTTTACAATTTACAGGAAGAAAAACCAGCATCACTTTCATTTGATTCATTGCACACTAATTTAGGGAGGAAACGATTAGGATCACAGGATGGAGGTGATTTAGCTGAAGATGAAGATGTTCCTGAAAAACGGTCCAAAACGACAACCATTGTCTCAGAACCCAAGAAAGAGTTAGATGAAAGCACAAGAGTGTGTTGGGACAACAATGCTTCAACTGTACCACGTTCATCAAGAAGAGAAGTGGATAATGGACCTGTTCAGCAACTTGTTGCAATGTTTGGTGCTTTAGTTGCTCAGGGTGAAGAAGCCGTTGCACCTTTGGAGATTCTTATTTCCAGTATCTCCTCAGACTTGCTAGCTGAGGTGGTAATGGCTAATATGTGTAACCTACCTCCAAATAATCCAAGTGCTGAAGGAGATGATGAACCACTGCATGACATTAGTATAACTGGTTCTGATGGCAAGGCTAAATATCCATCATCATTTGTAGATTGCGTAATGTCGCTTTCTAGTACATTCCCATCAATAACTGTACTTCTTGACGCTAATCAATCAATATCCAATGAGGTGGTAGTACAATTTCTTTTTATATTTGGTATTTCATTTTGGCTTTTATGTCTTTTATGGGCTCTCAAGTGGGGTGGGAATCCTCCTCCAAATGCTAGCTATTGAGGTAGAAAAATCAATCCACTGAAATACCCTATAGAGCTTCTTTATAATACTCTATGGAAGGACTTAAGCATTCTATACTTCATTGGTTTCCATCAATTGGCCAGCACCGGAGAGCTGATGTCCTGGTAGCTATAATTTGCAGCACTTAACTCAGCTTCCTTGCTAGTCAATACCCTCCACCTGTAGCCTTTTCCAGAGTCAGTAACCACCAACTTCGATACTAGTTGAGGGGAACCATAATGGGATGGGAATCCCTTCTTCAAAATCTAGCTATTGAGGTGGAAGATCTAACCCACTTAAGTCCTGATATAATAGAGCATCCCATACTATTGATTGTTGAACTTAAGAATCCCATACTGCTTTAGTTTCCGTCATCTTTTCTTTTATCTTTTAATTCACTTCCATTACCTTGCATATGTGATGACTTTACTTTTCTCCTCCACTCCAACCCCTCTCTTTCTGAGAAGAAACATTTGGACTAAGATTTTAATACAAAAATGTTTCAGAAATCTCAAGGGGAGGAAGAAATTTCTGCAACTGGAGTGGATAATAATGCTGTGCATTCTGGATTGAATCCTTCATCTGAAAATGTGATGCTGCCCTCTGATTTTCCATCTTCTGATGCCAAAATACCTGGAATGGAGAGTGTGAACACAGGTGTCCCTTCTGACATCCATGATGTGGGCAATTTAGAGAGTGGAATACCTGGCCTGGATTCTTTTGGTCGTAATGTTGCCTTGTCAGAAACTGTAGCTGGTTCCTCATTGGCTTCCTCTGATATAGAAGAAGCCAGTCAAGAACAAGTTATGGGTTTTGGTCAAAAATCACCCCTGAACATTGTTACATCAATATCAACAGATAGGTCCGAGGAGATAAGCCCAAAAGCAGCTGTTACGGATGTAAATAGTGTGGTGTCATCAGCAGCACCTTCTGACAGGTCATCTCGGTTGGTTCTGCCAAAGATGATTGCACCTGTTGTTGACCTTGCAGATGAACAGAAGGATAATTTGCAAAAATGGGCTTTTATTCGTATTATTGATGCTTACAAGCAAATATCAATAGCTGGAGGATCAAAAGTTCGATTTTCAATACTTGCTTATCTAGGAGTTGAGGTGATATATGTTTTCCTTTTCAGTTTCTTTACAGACAAACATGGGATTGGTTTCTTGTAAATTTATGATTTGTTGGCTTTTTATAAGCATAAATAATTTGATTCAATTCTTGTAATCTGTTTCCTGCATTGGTTTAATACTCAATACTATTAAATCCTGTCATAGTTGGAGCTGCAAGAGCATGTACTTTTTTCACTTTTCTTTTTTACATACATGGTTAATTATGATTAATAATTTTATTACATTTTTTAGCCTGTTGACTCTCAGTCTTAGTTTCTCTAATGGAATCTAAGGCTGTCTTATCAGTTATCATCCCCTTTAATTTTATTCTTTTTTTTTCCCCCCTCTCTGATAAGATTTCTTATATTATTGAAAAAATAGATATGATCCATATTTGCCTCAAAAAGTTTACTGTCTAGCGTCTGCCAATAGGTGTTGTCTTGTGGGTTATGGAAAAAGATAACTTTTAATGCACCCCAAGTAAAGGGTATTAGTGGTTTGTCTGATCACAGAACTAGAATAAATGTATTTTGTGGGGGGTCAGCCTTGAACAAATTTTCTTTTAGGTCTTTCTGTAATATTTTTAATTGGTCCAATCTTTTTCCTTAGCTTTTGTTCTCCCTGTTTCTTGATAGTATCTACCATGATTGATTCTTGAAAACTCTAGTTGGAAGTTTTTTTTACATGTTTTTAAGTTCTTAATTTCAATGCTGTTGAGGTGTACATAGCATTTATGTTACTTATTCTTGCTTATGTTCAAATTCAATCTTTCTTCTTTCTATTCATAAATACTTTAATCACAATATAGCTTAGAAGTTCCTGAGATCCTAAATTACTATATAATTTTAGTTTTAATTTTAATTTTAATATTATATCTTTCGTTCACATGCATTTGGTTATTAATAGTACTGCATTTTCTTATTCTTCCTGCAGCTTCCCTTGGACCTAGACCCATGGAAACTATTACAAAAGCATGTCTTGGTTGATTACACAAGTCATGAGGTTTGTTTACATCTCAAGTTTTGGTTACTACTTACATATCCACGTCCAGCTTTTGGCTTCATGGTTATAGTCTGTTTGAGCTGATAATTGTTACTGAACGTCTCAGGGACACGAGTTGACTTTGCGTGTCCTCTACAGGTTATTTGGTGAGGCTGAAGAGGAGCCTGATTTCTTTTCTTCTACAACAGCTGCTTCTGTATATGAAACATTCCTCCTAACAGTGGTCTGTGCTTGTTTTTCCTAATTTTGCATTTGTCCTTTTGCAAAGCTAGTGTTGGAATTTTATTTAATTTTATTTTTTTTAAATGCAGGCAGAAGCACTAAGAGATTCTTTTCCACCTTCTGATAAAGCCTTTAGTAGATTGCTTGGTGAAGCTCCTTATTTGCCAAATTCAGTTTTAAAAGTTTTGGAGAACATGTGTTCTCCTGGAAATTCAGATAAAGTTGAAAAGGAGTCACAGAGTGGGGATAGAGTTACCCAGGGCCTTAGTGCTGTATGGAGTTTGATTCTGCTGAGGCCACCTATTCGAGATACCTGCTTGAAAATTGCTCTGCAGGTTTTTTCCTTCTACTTTTGCATTATAATTTGTGTTTTCTCCCCTGTCTATTACTCTATTTGTAACTGTTAATTATAGTTCCTCTGCACCCTTTAACACTTAATGTTATAATCTATGCTTGACTTTTTGGCCTCAATATCATCTCTTGTTTGATTTTGATTTTTCTACTTTCCAAATGAAAGAGTGCAGTACATCAATTGGAGGAAGTGCGGATGAAGGCAATACGTCTGGTAGTACTTTCAGTTTAACTTCCCATTGGACCATTCAATTGACTGAGAACAATCTTGTCTTATGATTGGGATAATTCTTGTAGGTGGCAAATAAACTTTATCCTTTAACATCCATTTCTCATCAAATAGAAGATTTTGCAAAGGAAATGCTGTTATCAGTGATGAGTGGTGATGCATCTGAAACTGCTGACAGTGAAGGATCTGTTGCTGAAACACCAAAGGTACTAGTATATGTGTACTTTTGGTTGATGGCTAGAATTAATTAACAGCAAGGTTTTACTTTTCTTTTCGGGAGCTGAACTCAAACTGGGCAGCAGTTTAAACAGTGTTTTTTTTTTTTGGTGAAGGGACCTGATAATGAGAAGTCTTTGATTGAACCATCATCGGTGAGTGGCAACAGTAAGGATTTCTGCTCTGATAATCACCAGTCATGTACACCTGAAAGTGTCTTGCTGGTTTCTGTCTCTGAGGCTCAGAGATGCATGTCATTGTATTTTGCTCTGTGCACCAAGGTGATATTTTGTTATGGTAGTGTCTCAATTTTTATCTAGTTATAATATTTTTCACGTCTGATTAAAAGTTGATTTCTTGATATTTTTTTATCCAGAAACATTCTCTCTTTCAGCAAATATTTGTAATCTATAAAAGCACATCAAAAGCAGTCAAGCAGGTTTCACTCATTTTTTAGCCTATCGGGATGGGATTCTTAGAGATATCATGAATATTTTCTATTTAATCACCAGGTTTATCTCTAACCTCACTTTGCAGGCAGTTCATCGTCATATCCCTATACTAGTTCGTACTATGGGCTCATCTCCAGATCTCCTTGAAATTATTTCAGACCCCCCACATGGAAGTGAGAACCTCCTAATGCAGGTTTACTCTTTTACCATTCAACTAGTTTAGAAACTATGCATATTCATTAAGATTTTATTGCTCTGGCAGGAAAAAAAAATTTGAGATTTTATTGAAATTTTGTACTTGTATACTGATAATGTCAGGTGTTGCACACACTTACTGATGGGACAGTCCCTTCAAGGGATTTAATATTTACTATCAAAAGATTACATGATTCAAAATTCAAGGTATGTCAAAATGTTGCTCATCAGTTTAGTTGCACATCTCACTGAATTGGCTAATGAGTGATTTTTTTTTTTTGACAGGATGCGGAGGTTCTTATTCCTGTATTGGCATATCTTCCAAAAGATGAGGTTCTCCCTATTTCTATTCTCTGCAAACTTATTTATAATGCAGCGCTTTTGGTGAAATTATAATATTATGCAATGTATGGATAAAGTTTTGGGTAGGCTTTTTGTTATGGTATATTCTATGAATTTATCTATGTATAAATAATTTGCCATTCCAGCAGTTGAGGATTACATATGCCATGTGTCTGAGAAAGCTTCTTGTTCATTGACATTTGTGTTTAGTGTCTACTGTTTTTCAACTAGTTCAATCTTTTAGACAGATAGTACAATATAAGGGAATCAACTGATCAAGTATATCCTCCTAAAGCATCCTGAACTAGTAAAGAAAAGAGATAAAAGGCTGTCTGCTTAATAGAGCTTCCAATCTAGTGGCAAAACAGTCAAGGAATTCTATTTTCACTTCTTAGTTGGCCTCTCCTTTCATTTGGAGATGGTTTACCAAATTTTTTTCCTGGCAGGTTATGCTGGTCTTTCCTCACATTGTAAATCTTCCTCTGGATAAGTTCCAAGTTGCACTTGTTCGCATGTTACAGGTATGTTTTATGTCATTTGTTTGAGTTCTTGGTACTACTAAGTTGGAATCAAAGGGACAAGTTCTCACTTCTTACCTCTCCATTTGAGCTATAACTGCATTTGGAATGTAAGGTTTCCAACACCCTAAATTGTTACTTCACTAGACAGATGCAAGCAAAGATTAATTGAAATTTTTTGATGAAGTTAGATGATTATTATATAGATATATATCCTTAGGAGAACATTGGAAATAGTGAGGTTGTGGATAATATGATTGTATAGTGAAATGCTTTGCAATTATCAGAACCAGTTATTAATTGGCATAATAGTTGAATGTTTGAGGTATAAATTGTGATTGTCATTGTTGATAGGAAACATGGATGACTTGTGCCATGTCAGGATTGCCCTAAGTCATGATATACTAAGGTAGAAGTGACAATCAATTAGGATAGTCGATAAGGATTGTGGGTAGACCCAACGATGGTTTGAGGTAATAGAAAAAAGGAAAGCCATAAAAGGATCATATATAATGGGTACAACTGTAGATATGATTTTGATTAATTTTAAACAAGAATTCAATTAGCCAGGTCTCGCATAATCCTAATTGAAATTCCATATCCTTGTGAATTTTAGTACTTGCCAACATCTGAGAGTTGACACTGATGTTGAATGTTCTGGGAACATTAGAGAATAAAGATTTTGAACTTTGAATACATTGTGGTAATTGAATTAGCTGCAATGCTCTTTCACAGAAATCATCAAATTCTGGTCCAGTGCTTACTCCGGCTGAAGTATTGATAGCTATTCATGGAATTGATCCTGAAAAGGATGGAATTCCCTTGAAGAAGGCATGTTTATTTTTAAAATCTTGGTTGGTTTTATGCATCAGACTTTTTTGAGATACATTATACTAGGCTGAAGTATTATTATATATATACAGGTCACAGATGCATGCAATGCTTGCTTTGAGCAGCGACAGATTTTCACTCAAGAAGTTCTTGCCAAAGTTCTGAATCAATTGGTGTGTTCTTTGGAAATTTTTTTGATATGTTTTAAATGCACAATCAATCTAGTTGATCTCTCATTTGACACAACCTTTTCCCAGGTCGAGCAAATACCTCTTCCTTTATTGTTCATGCGGACTGTATTGCAAGCTATTGGTGCTTTTCCGACACTGGTAAGAAGCTCATTTATTCAAGGGAAAGCAATAATATGCAGTTGCTGCATATGCAAGCGGACAATTATTGCGTACCTGTCTGTCTTATGTTTTACACTGTACCAGAAGGAAGGAATTAAAGTTTCACCAAGACATCAATAGCATTTTTAGGAGGCTATATTTAATCTTTGAAGCGTTGCATGGATCAAACATATTCTAGATGCTTCTGTCAACTGAATTTTGGTGGTTAGCTTTTTATCATCATACATCTAGAATTTGACTTATTTAAATTCTTATAGGTGGACTTTATAATGGGTATTCTCTCTCGTCTTGTGGGAAAACAGGTGATTATATTTATATATCAGTCTCTGTTTTTCTTTTGGTTATTCATGCAGTTATTCACCGCATATGCATGACTTAATGAACTGTTGCAGATCTGGAAATACCCAAAGTTGTGGGTGGGATTCTTGAAGTGTGCACAATTAACACAACCTCAGTCATTTAGTGTATTGCTTCAGGTATGATTGTCTGCTTTTGATTGTCTTCTCAGTTTTCTGGAACTTGTTTTCATTTTAATTTGACATTCAGTTCAAAGCTCTTCAATCTATCTACTGTTTCTATCCCACCTTCACTTATCTTCATGAAAAAGGATTGTAGTTAACTCGTCTTCCTTCTTTATGAAGTCCCACATTAAATATATCTCAAGCTATACTACCATTTTTGTATTTTACTCCAAAATTTAATCTAGACCATTAAGAGCATCCTTACATCTACCCATCCCAAGGATGGGCAGAGGATCCATTTTCAAGGTTTTTAATTTATTTTGAATGTGTGCCTGCCTCACTTAATGTCAAGGTTTTTCAGAGCATTCTTTTTTTTTGTCTTTTGTATTTTACTCCCATTTTCTGATTCTAAGATGTCTCAGTATCACAAAATCATGCATTTTGAATCTTTTGAAGTCTGCTTTTTAATTTATTTAATGGAGGTGTATGGTTGTATGCAGCTACCTCCAGCACAACTGGAAAATGCTTTAAACAGATCTGCAGCACTTAAGGCACCATTGGTAGCTCATGCTAGTCAGGCAGATATCCAATCTTCACTACCCAGGTTCATGAGTTAAATTGCCACGAGAATGGCATGAATTTCTTTTTCTCGTTTCCATTATACCTTTAAGGGTGGATGACTCATTAGAAGACTTGTTTGAAAATGGATCCTCTGCCCATCCTTGGGATGGGTAGATGTAAGGATGTTCTTAATGGTCTAGATTAAATTTTGGGGTTCATACCTTTTTTCCCTAGTTTTTTTTAAATTTAAATTTAAAAATGTGGTAAAAGAAAGAATAAAAATAGTATTTCAACTATTAATTTCGAAAAGTGACTTACATTGAAAGATTAAAAATAAATTTCAAATCTAGACTGTCTAGTAATCTTGTCAAACTAGAAAGGATGAAAACAATGCGCGTCCCTCCCCAAGGTACTGAGAAAGCGGACGCTGAAATTCTTTTACGTTATGTGTATTTATTATCAGGACCTCTAGTAGAACAATCTTAACATTTGCATTTCCTACGAACTTAAGATCTGATCTTCCTACTAAAACAGTTCCTGCACAAGTTGTCATTTTAAATTTGTCCCTTGAAATTTGTTCTTTAGGTCCGTGTTGGTTGTTCTGGGAATTGCATCAGATCCTCAGGTTTCAAGTCAGCCACAAACTAGTCAAACACAGACAAGTGAGACAGGCAACTCCGAGAAGGATACGTTGACAGAAAAATCCAAAGAATCTTCTACAGCTAGCTGACTTGTTAAGTAATTATGTTGAGTGATTAGACTCTGCTGAGGAAGATTCTTCATGCCGCCCTCCAGTGTGTGCATGTTGCTGCCGGGATTTATTCTGCAGAATTTGACCTGCGAACAACACTTCAGAATAGATCATGACCATTAGAGGTATACATGTACATGTGGTCTGCACAAAATTTCTCGTGTGCAAGTCAAACGGGAAGCTTCATCCACATGGGTGTAGATTATCCTGTAGATTCTCAGCTATGAGTATGAAAAAACAGAACTTGTAATCAGATGCATAAAAAGTTGGGCCATGCCCCATGAGCTCTATCCTCTTCCAGGTGTATATTTACATTAGGAATCAACCAACAAGCTCAAATGTTAGCGTCCATCGCAATTTTGGAGGTGGAAACAATGTATCTTGCACTGTGTTGTATCATATTTTCATTCGTATATTCAATTCCGGTTTTGCCTTGGGAGCGAACAATTTGAATGGTTATTGATGTGTATATTTTTACGTTAATTTGTGTGGAACTCTTGGTATTTTGGTTCGACATAGGAACGATCATGGGGGGTGTTTAATTTTAAGTACCCGGCCTCCATTTTTCACATAATCACATTTAGTAGAAGAAAGTTTTCCCGTTTCTATCAAAGTCCTTGAATCCTTGAAACATTCAATTTTTAAATATTAAAATACAAGTCCATTTATCCAAACAGAACAATTCAAGTCCATTTGAGAGCTGATAATAAATATTCATGAGTAATTTCTCCATTCCGCCTGAGAGAATGTTACAATTTTTAAATAGATTTGCTTTGGATGAAAATCTTATATTAAAGAAAAGAAAATTGACTTGGAACCTGAGTGTTTATTTCTGAACAAAGTGGGTGATTGCTGATTACCGATGATTGGGTTTAGTGGGTTTAGTCCCTGCTTTTCATAAGTGAATAATAATGGCCATTTAATATTTAATATTTTAATTCTCAAGCAAAAAACTTAAATAGATGAAGAAATTTGAAAGTGGAACGACTCATGTTGGAATTACATGATTTTTTTAAAAATATATAATAATTCTTCAATGAAAGAAAAATATATGCAGTCTAAAAACCTAATGGTGTGTTTGAATTAATAAAAATTTAAATTTAAGCATAATCTCTCATTTAGATACACAAAAATTTATATATTTTGATTTTATTTAAATTTAAATCTATTACAAATTATAATTCCTTTATAAATTTAAATTCGTTTTATTTTGTAGTCATTTAAAATTTTAATAACTTCAAATATCTTGTTCTGTTCGTATTTTTATTATTGATATTTCTATGACTCTTGTATCTTTTCTCATCTCTTGTAAATTAAAAAATATGAATAAATTTATTATTTTTAAATTTTCATTTTTGTTTAAAATATCAATTCATCTCTATTTTTCATTTCAAATTTTTTAAACTACTCAAATAAAAAATTTTAAATATGTGGATTTTAAATGTGCGATGTGAAAATGTAAGATTTCAAATCTAAAATACAAATCTATCAATTCAAATGTTACTTAAATGAATTTTTGGAATAGAATGGAGTGAAATAGTTAGGAACTTTATATTATTGTTTTTGTGAATTTCTTAAAAAAAGATGGAATGACTTGGGATGACTTTCCTTAGCTATTTTAAATTTTTAGATTTAGAATTTTATTTCTACTTCTATTTTTAGATTCTAAATTTATTTATTTTTACTCTCAATTTAAGGGGTTAGGATAAAGTGATTTGATATAAATAATATTATTCTAAAATTATGTCTATCCTTTTCAACTCCTTTCACTCTAAAATTAAAAAAAATATATATATAAATAAAACTAATTTAAATCCATTAATTTTATAATAATCCTTACATAAGAATTAAATAAAATTATTTATTTTTGATAAAAATTTGAAGCAATAAAATTATCCATTCCGTTTCAAATAAACTTATATACCTAATATGTTTATTTTCAATTAAATCAAAACACGTGAATTTTGTATAGATTATTTACTCTATAACAAATTCTTATTATTAATATTATCAATACATTAAAAACTATTTGTCTTGATTTAATTAGATAAAAATATATTAAATGTATAATTGATTAAAAGTATATAAGGTTAAGTATATAAATTTTACCCATCCTATTTCATTCCATTAATAATCATTCAATTTGTTTATCCTAAACTGTCACACATATCCTAACATTTCATTGGATCACCTTTGAATTTTGTTCATTTATCTTCATTCTTAGTTTTGCTTTTCAATTTTTTTTTTATTGCCCAAGGTATCGTTACAATTAGTAGCTGTGAGACTAATCCCCTAAAAAATATGAGTGCCATTCAATGGATTGTTCTCTTTCAAGTAATGCTTTTCAATTTTATTTAAAATCAATCTTATTAATTATTTTTATATATCATATAATATAATTAATTTTTTCCAACAGATATTCAAACACATCCATAATAGTGATTAGCAATACATTTCTAAAAAATACTTAAGTAGATTAGGTGCATCAAGTTACTTATAGCAGTGATCAATCTTATTAATTAATTTTATATATTATATAATGTAATTAATTTTTACCAATGGATATTCAAATACATCCATAGTAGTGATCAGCAATACTTTTCTACGTATTATTCTAAGAAATGCTTAGGTCATCTTAATGCACTATATTATTTATAGTCTGTCAAATAAAAATATGACATTCAGATGATATTAAATATAAATAAATTATGAGATTAATGATAGTTGAAAGAGAAAATGCAAGAAATCAAACATATATTCTGTTATAAAAAAAAATTAATTTAAAAAAATGTCACACAATTTTATTTAAATTACTTAAAGCATTTTAATTGGATAAATTACAAATGAGGTGATGCACTGAGTCTATCTAAATATTTCTCATACATTTCTTTTCCATCTTCCAATATAGTAAATATAGAGTATAAGTTAAAAAAATTCCTTCCCTAAATTTAGTTGTCACGATAATTAATCCATTCTTCTAGTATTCCCTCTGAGATAATTTATAAAACACTTTTGGTGTTTTTGTGACTCAAAATATAAGATATCTAGACAAAAAATAACTATATTTGTTATAATATTGCTCTTCTCTCCTTATTATATTTTTTTCTTTCTCTATTTAATGTTTCACAAAATTAGTCACATTAAATGAAGGGTGCTTTTAAAAAATTTATATTTATCTTTTTTAAAAAATAAGATTGTAAATTTATTTAAAAAATATTATTAATATATGTAATTTCATCAAAAAATATCTTATAAATTATAATTTCATAAATTACGAATATATAACAACAACGAGCCCAAAAAAAAAAAAAAGAATGAATAAGCTATACAGCCCACAAGTGGTGGTTTACTTGGAAGGGATTTTAAGCAGAAAATCCGTGTGTTGACTTGTTTTTTTTGGGCGAGCAGTGTTTCTAGGATATTATTATATTATTTAGTTATATTAAATGAAAGCCATTTTTTAAAATTTATAATTATTTTTTAAAAAATACATGTAAAGTATACTTAATAAACACTGCATTGATATATGTAATTTTATAAAACATGCAAAGTACATATATAATAATGATAGGCTAAAAAAGAGAAAAAAAAAAAAAAGGCTATACAATCTACAATCGGAAGCTTACTTAAAAGGGATTTTAAAACAAACAATCCACGTGTTAATTTATAAGGGTGAGCAAAACCGACCATTCTAAGCCAATCCAATAGAAGTCAAATAAATTTGATCATAAATAGCTTTAATTTTTTCTTTAAACTTTAACCAAACCTAAACCATATCATTTTAGATTTTTAAATGTAATTTTTATGATTAATATTAGATTATTAATGCTTATTTTTTAAAATTTTAAATTTAACTAAAGTCTAACCTAAAATTAAAATATTATAATAGAATCTCTAATCCTTCATTTCTCAATTTTACTATTAAAAAGTCAAATTCATATACCTGTGTTATGTCAATAATGATTTTTTATAGATAATTTTGGATATAAAATTTCTTTTTTTTTTTTCATTTAAAAAAGCTACTTTTTATTATGGATATTAAGATAAATTGTAATAAAATTTAACTCATGTTATTTACAAATGCATATAATTTAATATTTATTAATATATATTTGATGTTCAATTTTATTTATGAATAATAAAGTTAAAAATGTGACTTGAAATTGGACTATGAAATGAAAATGTCAAAAATTATGCTTAGCTTTGATATATAATTTTTTACATAAAAAATATTAAAATTTGATTCATGTATAAACCAACTCACACCAAACCACTTAAAAATCAAACTAAACCAAATTAATTTTAAAAAACCCAATCAAGTATCATTTTTTATGCAAACTGATTGGTTTAGTTTATGTAAACCGATTGGTTTAGTTTAATTTATATTTTAACTAAAATCAAACCAAAGTATATATCTAATCACCCTTATTAATTTATCTGTTTTCGTTTGAAAAGGGTATCTAAGATATTATTCTGTCATTTGATTATATTAAATGAAGAGTAATTTTAGGAATTATATTTATTTTTAGAAAAAATAACATTATAAAATATATTTAATTAACATTATTTATATATGTAGTTTCATAAAAAAGAAGATAGGTTATAAATACGAACAAAGGGATTATATATATATATATATATATATATATTCAGAGGAAACCATATTTGGAAAGGACTTTAAAACAAACAATATATGTTGATTTGTTTGTTTCCGAAATCAATCATGAGAATCGAATCTCAGATATTATTCTGTAATTTTGTTTCGATGAGGACAAGGTTGCTTTCATTTCCTATTTTTGGGGCTATTACTTATACCCGTTTGGCATAGAAAAGTGTTTACTGTTTATAATAGAAGTGGAAGAAATGAAAAAAACAAAAAGAAGAAGTGAAGGTGGATGTAAAATCGAAATAAAAATAAGATGTAAAAATAGGTAAGATAAAAAATTATATTTAATAAATATAGTATATAAAGAAGTCATCCGTCGTCTTCATCGTTCGTTGTTCCCCAGAAGCACCGTGGCCGCCTCCACCAAATCTCAAAACACCCAAACAATAAACCCTCCACCGGACAGGATTTGTTGCTGGAAAATACAGTGAAAGTTGGAGATGCGCCGGTCACCGGAGGAGAAGACGTGGCGACGGTGAGGGAGGCCGGTCGGAGAAGACGCACGATAGTGAGGAGGGACAAAACTTGTCAATTGATAGAATACTTGAAGATACAAAAGTCAAAGAATTTAACTTCCAGAGAACTGACGCCAGTTCCATCGAGTTCCATAGAGAACTGAGTTCCTATGTAACAAACACTCTAATTTTATAATTCCACCTCCACTTCCATTTCCCAAGTTTCAATTCATGCGTACCAAACGACTCTCCGGTTTGTGAAACAAAGGCCAAGTGCAAAGTGGTTCCTTCACTGGCGGGAAGGTATGGGGGTCGACTACTACAAGATCCTTCGGGTGGATCGAAGCGCCAACGGTGATGATCTCAAGAAGGCCTATCGAAAGCTTGTCATGAAGTGGCACCCTGATAAAAAGCTCAACAACAAGAAAGAGGCTAGTGATAAGTTCAAGCAAATCTTCGAGGCCTACAATGTATTTATAATTCTTGCTATTCACTGTGTCTCATTTTACTTTCAGCTTAATGGGACTTTGGGTTATTAGAAAATGCTGAAGGATTTAAATGAGAGTTTTTATTTGGACTTGCGGGTTTGATTTGACCTTTGATTTGAATTTGGACAGGTTTTGACTGATCCACAAAAGCGAGGAGCGTATGATCAGTATGGTGAGGAGGGGTTGAAGGGACAGGCACCGCCACCCGGCACTGGCGGGTTTTCCGGCGGACCAACGACGTTTCCTGTCAACCCGAGAAGTCCGGATGATATAATTTCGGAGTTATTTCGGTTTATGGACGAAACGGATGGGCGTGCTGGCGGGTCCACTTTTCGCCGGGGCGTGTTTGGCGATGAATTTTTTTCTTCATTCATGAGTGGAGGTGGAGATGGCTCCGCAAATATACCAAGGAAAGGTGCAGCTATAGTGCGAACACTGCTATGTAGTTTGAAGGACTTGTATAAAGGAACTAGAAAGAAAATGAAGATTTCGAGAGATGTTGTAGATGCCAATGGGTAAGCTTTCTGCCTCAACTTATTAGCAATTTTTCTTACCTCTTTTGTGAAGAAAAACCTCATTCGGCGAGTTGAATTTACTTGCATTAATGTGCTAGTGGGTGAAATTGGATTTCTAAGTGGGGAAAAAAGTGTTATTACTAAAAAAAGAAAAAAAGAAAAAAAAAAAGAAAATGTAACGACGCCAGGTCAATTTTAATGTTTTTGTGGCCGAATAAGGTTTGTTAATTGCTGATCGGCTGGGTTGATTATCGTAATCTAATTTATTGATGTGAAAGTAAACTATGCTATTCCACTATTACTTGTTCGGCCTCATTGTATTAGGCTTCTTACTGGCAAACTGTTCTGAGATGGATTGGGATCTTTGGCATGTATGCAGTTTTATCCTCTAAGCTCGTTAGGAGTTGTAGTTGTATGCTGTCTCCCCATAGAACCATATTTATTGCAAATGTTTTTACATTAATCATGGTTGCTAGTATCTGCATCTTTGATAATCTTTTCTTTGTAATTAGCAAGAATGGAGATTATATATTTAGTTACATTGTACATTTTATTACTTGGTCATGAGCATTCGGGCTTGGACTGGTGGACCACACTGCCAAGCAAAGAAATAATGTTTTTGTTCAATGAATGCAAATGCTTCAGGAGAAAAGGTTGCGTTGAGTCAGGAAGCACTTCTTTCTGCCCTTCTGTCCTACTAGAGCTTTTTATCTATATTGAGGCAATATGTTGTGCCAGTTGTTTCAATTCCCAGGTTGTCTTTGAATTTAAATTGGTAAAATTGTGAGTATACATTTTACTACCTATTGGAGCTGTTTAATGTTCTAGCTTGGGTTTACACCATTATCAGACAACTTCATTGTTGTTTAATTATGTCAAACTTCTAACATTTTTGGCACATTACAAGTACTTGATTCTTTAAATCCCTAGATGCATTTAGATTTCCTAAAATCCCCAATCATCTCCTGATTTATAATTTAAATCCCTAATCCCCCTTCTAAACCCATTTGGTCCCCCATTGCAAATTCTGATAAAAAAAAAAATAAAATTACTGGGTTATGGATGGAGTAGTTGATGACAAGTTTGGTGATTAGTGGAAGATTTGTTAGAAGCATTCATGAATGAGCTGCTGTACTGCTATAACGGTGAAATTTTATTGCAAACAAGAGGCAGAATATGATTTATGTTTGAATTTTAATTTGTTTCCTCAATTTAGAAACAACTTTTATCTTATGTGTTAATGTTCTGATCATGACAAGGTTGTGTGCAGCCAAATACTCAAGGTTGGTGCGTAGCGCTCAGATTGGTTTATAGCTTTTCCCCCTTCCTATCATTTATAGGGTGAGGCGTCTGGATTTTGTGTTGGACATTTTGGGGGATCTGAAGGTAACTTTGGATATTAAGAATTGTATACCAAAAACAATAATCTGACAGAATTAAAGCATAATACATAGTCAACTTCCAAACCATGCAGTAACAAAGTGAATAGATTGGTTTGTCATAATGTCGCACATCTTAAAATTCTTATATGTATAGCATCTTGTTCATTGATATTCTTTGACATGTACATTAAAGTGTCTTGAAGAGTAATCTTTCTAATTTCTGTTCAAGATGCCATTGTTATGCTTTAGGGCAGGCACTGGAGGTGGGTGGTATGGTCTGGAAATTGAAGTGGCTGTGCAGGAAAGATCTGTTTTAGTGACACATCTTTATAATTATCTAGAGTCAAATGTCGCATTTCTCATTGAAATTGTTGAAAGATGTAGGAATCACTATCAATTTCAATCTTTCTTTTATATAGATACTTTATTATTCTACTAGGTTTTTAATTGTTGAAATTCTTATGCATATTGGAGCTCTCTTATTTTCACTTAGTTTTCATAATCTTCTTTAGTGGAAACATAGGTCAAATTAGACAACATGATACTCATCATGAGAATGCCTATAATTGTTTCCTGTTGCTGGTTTCAATTTAAGAAGATTTTGATGTAAGGATTCTTGATTTTTCCAAAAAGTGCTTTCAAAGTTTGTAGTAGTATATGAACTCGGGATATCTCTGCATTTGCGTGAGTATGTATGTGAGAGGTAGAGGCATCTTGAATCTTAAAATGGTCCAACGCTGTGTTTTTTGTAAGAGGGATTGAGGTAAAGGGATTTAAGTTCTAGAGTGATTTGAATTTTGAACCTGTAATATCTTTGGGTCATAGGTTAACAACTAAAGCCTACACTCTTGGGGGGCAAGCAGCTTAAGTGATTAAATCGGTCTGAAACTTTGACACCATGTTGCTGACAAAATGATAGCACGCTGAGTCAGCATGATCCTCCACTTTTGACTTATCAGAGAAGAAAGGGGAGGAAGTTAGAGCCAGTTATGCAGAATTGAATTAGTCTCTGATTATTTGTTGTATTTTCAGTATTAGTTAGCTAAATAATTGGATCAACAATGCTAAGTGGTTCACCCACGTTTAAGTCAGTCTGAGTCAGTTTTGACTCTTCCAGATATGTTGGGATATTTTCTGATTATTTATTTATTATTCTGATGTAATTCCAGCATTATAAATGGGCTAGTTCTTGCCATAGCGAGTCTCATTGAGAAATAAAATATTCTTTTCATTGGAGATTCTCCAACTTTGGCTATTGAATTTATTAGGGTTTGTTTCTTGCTCTAATTGATTTCATAGATTTATTTGCTGACTTGTTACTATTCTGAGTGTTTATCACAAAACTCCTGTTTAAAATTTTGACAAGATACTTCCAGTAAAAAGGTGACTTTATTGTTTTGCATGTCTTCTAAATTACTGGTTGCTTAACCCTGTAAAGGTTTGGACTTGGGCTTCTGCAGATCCTTGGCTATTTGAATTTGTTCCTCCTGAAACAAAGGATTTTATCTTAGAGTTCAGTGTTGACTCCACCCAATGCAGCGAGTACTGTGGCTAGTAGTCAGTTAACTATTTTTTGAATTATGAACTTGTTAATTATCTATATATACATATTCAAAATTTCCAAGTCATTGCTATACTTGTGAAGAGATTCAGTTTTTGAACTTCATAAGTTGATGGTTGACCCGCAGTCTTAGCAGGGAAAAAGTGAGATTGATTGGCTATGAAACTAATTTTGATTATGAATACTGAATCTACTCTGTTTCCTTCTTGTGTAGGCAGCCGATCCCAGTACAGGAAATTCTTCCAATTGAGATCAAGCCAGGTTGGAAGAAAGGAACAAAAATAACTTTTCCAGAGAAGGGAAATGAACAAAGAGGACTTATGCCTGCAGACCTTATCTTCATCATTGATGAGAAACCTCATAGTGTCTTCAGGAGGGACAACAACGATCTTATCTCCACCCAGGGGATATCTCTCGTTGAAGCCCTGACAGGTTATGTGGCACAGCTGACAACCCTTGATGGTCGGAATCTTACCATTCCCATCAACTCAATCATGAGCCCCTCATATGAAGAAGTTGTGGAAGGAGAGGGCATGCCTATTCCCAAAGATCCCTCCAAAAAGGGTAACTTGAGAATCAAGTTCAATATCAAGTTCCCTTCCAGAATGTCATCCAAGCAGAAAATTGGCTTTAGAAATTATTGACATCACCATGAATTCCACTGCTAGTTCTCGTCTCGCTATCATTCACTATCACTTGTAAGATTGCATTTGTTTTATTTTCTGTTTTTGATTTTGAAATGGGAATCCATGCTTTTTAAGTCTGTTTGCAATAACAAACAATATATTAGCATTTTGATGTGTCGTACTGTGTTGTGTCTATTTCGTTATTTAGCTTCCCGGCCTTCTTAGATTGATTTTCTTTCCCTGACCACATGTCATACAACATCTGAATTCATTGCAATCACAGATTGACTGTATATTGAATATAATAGTTCGAGAGGAGAGAAATGATGTTTGCCAAAGAAAAAAAAAAAAAAAAGAGTGGATCTCATACACAAGTGTATTCTCGTGTGTTATTTTTTCTTTAACTGTAGGACCGTGAAAAATATAATATATCCACTACTCATTTGATCCTATGAAAGTTTTGGCAGAATCTAATTTTCTCAGTAGCTGGCTAGCTGCAGTGCAGATTAAGACCCTTATGCTCTCTTATTTATGACCTTGCTTCATACTCTTGTTCGTTGTATGGATTATTACTGATCGTATTGTTTCATGCTCTGGCTCGTTGTGTAGTGACGACACTACATCAAATCAAACTATTGATGATTGCTTAAGTTATGGCATCAACATTATTAGTTTATTACAATTTATTAAAGTATGCCTTTACAAATGTTCTATTAAAAAAAAAAAAACCTTTACTTATAAAGAGATGTTTTATATCTCTAATTAGATATCAGAATTTGGCCATTAAAACAGAATAGTTGAAAGTAGGAAAGATTGTTCTTATTCCCTATCGTAAAATATAAAATTTTTTATTATAATTGGACTGGAAGTAGTTCTCTTAAATTAATTTTTTTTATTTATAAAATCGAGACCGTTGCGGGTTGGGAAAAATTATATTTTCAATTGGTAATCACTCGTTGTTGTTAGTCAATTTTAATGAGTTTGAGGGTTTTACAACAAAATTGACATGAAATGATTCCTTGAGAATACATTAAATTATTTGTATATTCATTTATATACCAATAGTGAACGACGTCCCCAGTTAAAATGAAATAAAAAATAGCTTATTATTTTTAAAGAATGCAATGCAAGTAAAGCCTCAGCTCAGACCTCAAGATGAGGTTAATGACCTTTGTTTGATTCAAGAAGAAAAGGAGAGGTAATAACTAATTTATTATTGTATCCTTTATATGTTAATTTTTGATTATTTACTTTTATCATATAAATTAATTATATTGAGCTGTACATGCAATATGCAGTAAAATTGTATCAACTATATAAGTATCATGTTATCAAAAATGCAACTTATTTTTTTAAAAATAGATTACTTTGTATATTTATATGTAATGGAGGTCGAGGGAGCTCTTTGTTCAACCATGCAGTCGCAAATTGTACACACACACACACACACACACATTTCATTCGAAATATTCATCATTACTTTTCACACATTATATTTTATTGTTCTAACATTAAACATTCAAAAAATTAGACGTAACAGAAATATTGAAAAAAATATAAGAGAGATATTTAAAAAAATGAAAAGAAAAAAATCATGAGGACTATAAATGGAGAGGAAATGGTAGGAGAAGTTGCACACTTGAATAAGGAGATTTTTTTTTTTTTACTATGGGCATATATGAAATATAAAAAATTGAATGAGGGCAAATTAGTTAAAAAAAACTTAACTCCCCTTTAAAAAACCCTAATTTAAAGGGGCCAAACCCAAAATGAGGGAAGGGAAGGGGATATTTTGCCTCCCCTCCCCTTCAAAGTTTCCAAATCAAATGAAGTAAAGAAGTCATCTCCCATTTTCTTCCTTCCAAATTTTTCAAACCAAATGATGAAAAGGAGGTTCTGTCTTCCCACTCTCTCCAACCAAACACATTCTAAAGATCAAAGTCTTTAAGTATTTAATTTGAGAGATTTATTTTAAATTGAATCATGTTCATATTCTTGCTTAGGCACAATTTTCTTTTTTAAGCAAGTATAAAGTAAAATATTAATGATGCAAGCTTTTAAAAGAATAGGAGAAACTTTTATTGTAAAAAATAATTTGAAATTTCATGTACGGGATTTTTCTTTCAAGACTTCATCCTCCTAGCCTTTTCTATTTTGGACAAAGTTCAAATTAGAAGGCATGTCTATAAAATTCAAATTATAAGACACATAAAATAAAGAAAAAACATAACCATTTATCCCTATAATTTTATCTAGATTTATTTTTAGTTTCTATAATTTTTTTAGTACTCCCAACCCTTATAATTCATATAATTTAATATTGTCAACGACTTGAGGAATAAACGTCATCAAATTTTACAATTACAAACATTCTTATATGATCATTGATTATGTTTTTTTAAAATAAAATTCAAATTACAACACACACAAAACAAAAGTCAAGTTACAAGACACATGAAACAAAAGTCAAATTAGAAGGCACATAAAAAACAAAATCTATATTATAAGACACATAAATGAAATCTAAATTTTAAGATCTAATGCTATGCATTCTCCTTCAATACATACTTCATGATTTTTACATACTTCACATATTTATAGTTTATATGTTCATATTCACTTTGCCTGATACACTTTTTGAGCAGCTACTACTTGTTGAAGGGATCATGAGATGAAGATATGTTAGAGAAGGTATTTTTGCAAGAAAATAAAAATAGAAAGACTAATCCAACAACGTACGTAGATATTAAGGACAAATTAAAACTCCAAACAAAATGTGGGGGTAAATGTATAATTTAATGAAAAGAATGATTGTATGATGTATTACACACACCAGGCTCCGCCTCGCCATTCTCTGTTGCTTTTCTTGTACCGTTTTTGCATATACTTCTGTGTCCTCACGATCTCTTGGATCCATGCTCATGGTGTACTCGCTGCACCCTCTCACTACTTTGAATCCCTCTTCCACATTCAATTTGTGCTAGTATACTCATTTTGAATCGATTTGCTTAGATCTCTGCATCGTGTTATGGAAATGGCTTCTAGTCCTCGCACTGTGGAGGAGATCTTCAAGGATTATAGTGCTCGAAGAGCAGGGGTCATTCGTGCTTTAACTCAAGGCACTCTATTCTCTTTCTTTGTTTGTTTCTGTATTTCATTTCTTCAGTTTGATTTCCTCTGTGGTGAGTCTTAAAGTTATTTTCCTTCTTTTGCTTCCGTTTCTCAGATGTCGATGAATTTTACGGGCTCTGCGATCCAGGTAACGCGTAATTATGGATCTGTATGCCTTTTTGTTTACGTAGATAATCTGAAGTTTTTCATTTAGTTTCGTTACATCTTTTATTTACTAATTCAGTTATCATGTTGCTCGTTTCTGTGTGAATTATACTTACTTGGAATTATATTAGAATTGATTTTCTCTCCTGGATGATTTGAGGAAATCGATTGTTTTTTAGGGGAAAAAATGCCAAAGTTCTGCATGCCTCCTCTCCTGTGCACTCCTGAAAGTGTTCAAATTTGACTAAGCTTCGATTTGCTCTATGACATTACAGTTCTCATTAGAGGGCTATGTACAAGTTCCTTTTTTGAATTTCCTGGCTGAAACACAGAATTAGACATGAAAGGATTGTTTAAACTAATTTCCTTGAGTTTCTGCTCGACTCAGTGAAGAATGTTTTGGTGAATAGAAAAAAGAATTGCAGTTTTTGTTGCTTTTCTTTTCAATCTCTTTTCTAAGATATTGAAGCCCTGCCATAATGCTCTGTTAGTTCTTTCGGTTTAATGTTTGCATACTGTCATGTTCCCCATTAAAATTTAAATTATTCGTTTGCTTAAGATAAGGAGAACTTGTGCCTTTATGGACATCCAAATGAAACCTGGGAAGTAACTCTGCCAGCAGAGGAAGTTCCCCCTGAGCTTCCTGAGCCAGCTCTTGGAATCAATTTTGCTAGAGATGGCATGCATCGCCGGGATTGGCTTTCTCTGGTTGCTGTCCACAGTGATTCATGGTTGCTTTCTGTGGCCTTTTATCTTGGAGCCCGTCTGAACCGCAATGAAAGGTACTGTCTAACGTTGATGGAGTTGTATATATGTGGTGACGATTCCAGTGGATTGTGGTTTTGTTTCTGTCAAAGACATGCTCAAACATCCTATGGCATGTTGGAGTTATGGGTTATAGTCAGGGTTGTTGGTCAGCATGAATTAATATAATCATGATTAATGTCTCAGTAAGTCTCTTAAATTGGGGCTGCAAAAGGTCTCTTAAGATAATTTTATTTTACCTGCAACATCATAGAGGTCCCTTTACAAACTTAACTATTTGAGTGCTCGGTTAAGTGACAAGAGCAGGAATGGTGCCATGGTGACTGGTCAAATCCTCCAACGGCCTCTATGTGTTTGGGGCTTTCTTTAATTGCTAACTCTATGAAACACATTGACATTAACAATTTTAGTTTTTCTTTCGAAAAGTATTCAATAATGAATATTTGATCTCTGTGAGTTGGTTTTAGATATATTGTATAATCTTCAGTTGTTTCCACTTCCCAATGAATAAATGAAACAGCTATTGGCAAATATTCACGGACAGAAATTGTGTGGGACGATTGAGTTGAGAGTGTTCTTGAGGGGGAGAATACAAATTCTCTTATATAAGGATGAAATGTTTTTAAGGCGTCCATTTATTCTAGATTTTTAGTTCTTGGGGTTAAGTGTTATATAGGGGTTTCAAGCCGCTTAAAGTACCTGAGAGAAGGATATGCCGTTTAATTTGACTTATCATTTGTATTTTAGATCATATACGCACTACTCTGTTTCTCAGGTTGTTCCTATCTTTTTGACTATAGATCGCCTTCCTCTTTACTCACAAACTAATGCTATTGGAAGGGATGTCAATAGATGCGATATGTCTGGCGTTGTGACATGATAACGTCTTACTACAACATATCATATGGTTCTTTCTGTTAATAGTTACACTAGTTCTTTATGGCAGGAAACGGTTATTCAGCTTGATCAATGATCTTCCCACTGTTTTTGAAGTTGTAACTGAAAGGAAACCATTAAAGGACAAGCCCACTGTGGACAGTGGTAGCAAATCTCGGGGCAGCATCAAGGTTAGTTGGATCATTACTCAAAAGGCTCATTTATAACGCCCTTGGGAGTTAAGATGAGCCTTTAGGGGATATACCCTCCAAATATTCATGAATCTCCTTTGGGGGTTAGCCATTTGCTTTTGTTTGATGACATCAGGATCGTGATCCCTGACCTTGTCTAATGTTTATTCCGTTTCTGAGCTTTATGCCCTCGCCTAGAATCAAAAGAAATACTCAGAGGCTCAATGTGTTATTGCTGATGATTTGCAAAAGCTGCTTTTAAAACAAACATGGTGTCTGTTGAAGTATTTGATTTTAAGGCTATGAATCAAGATTCTGGTGGTGGGAAAAGCACAGATGCAATTCTTTAAATATTTGCCACTGGGTGTTTCATTAATATACAAATATGATATTCGGGAAAAAAAAAAAAAACCTTCGTGTGTAATCGCGTATTCCTGAGTTGGAAAATAGTACGCATATATATATTTTAATTGTAAAAGCTGATAGAAAACACTTGAAAATTGCATTTAACTCTGTATTTTTCCTGCATGATGCAAACTTCTTCCTTTATCCTCAGAGATCAAGTGACGGGCAAGTGAAAAACAACCCAAAGTTTTCCGATGAAGGTTACGAGGAGGATGAAGATGAGCATAGCGAAACCCTTTGCGGTAGCTGTGGTGGAAATTATAATGCAGATGAATTTTGGATTGGCTGTGATATCTGCGAGAGATGGTTCCACGGGAAATGCGTGAAAATTACTCCTGCAAAGGCTGAGAGCATAAAACAATACAAATGCCCATCATGTAGCATGAGGCGAGGTAGGCCCTAGGCAACTAAAACGTTGTTAGAGGCTGACAATATTTTGTATTATTGCTATATTTCTTACGAAAGGGCGCGTAACAGATATACCACTATGTTTAACGTGTAGTTTCTGAGGGATTTAGTCTGACTTCAGTGAGACAATTTAGTAATGTATGTTATTTACACCATAGAATAGATTGTGATACATTCTAATTTGGTGGACTTTGGATTCTTTGAACACTGGATAGCACTTTCCAAGTTAATTCTTCCATATAGATTGGCTTTCTTATTATATCATTAATTATCATAGGCAAAAGATTGAGGAAGGTATTTTACAAGACTTCACTTTGAAGCCATCTCAACCTGAAAGAGATTGGTAGTATAAATTTGATGAAGACAAATATATGAGATTCAATTTAGGGAGAATTTCAAATAAGGATAAGGGATGTGATTTAATTATTTGTGGATTTAAAATTTTTTTGAAAATTTCAATGCAATTCATGGGAATAAAAGTAAAAAATAATTTCAATTATAAAAGATAAAGTATTCTTCACTTGTTATGTAAAATCATTAATTGTTAATTTTCTTACTTTATATGTTAATTTATCAATATTATTTGTGATTACATTCATTTGTCAGAAAAGCAATAACATTAGCTGTTAATTTACTAACTTTATTTATTAATTTATTAATATTAGTTGTAAGTTACAAGACCTATCAGTAATTTACAATTGGTGTTAGTAAATTACAAGATTTATCAGTAATTTATAATTAATGTCAACAAATTTATAAGTAAAGTTAGTAATTTAATAACTGATGTTGCTGCCTATAATTAAACAACTGATATCAAATTTTATATAATTATTGTCATATGAATTCATATAATTTACAACTCATATTAGTAAATTAACAAGTGAAATAAAAAAATTAACAGTTAGTAATTCTGCATAATAAATAAAGGGTACTTTGATCTTTTTACAATTAAAATTATTTTTTACTTTTATCCCATGAACTGAATTAAAGTTTTAAAATTTTTTGGAACCCACTAATAAGTAAGTCACATATCTATAGTTCTTATTTAAAATTTTCCCTTCAATTTATGTTCTTCAGTGATCAATGGTATTTTAGATATGAACATGAGTATAAAGGAAGGAGACTGGCTAGCAAATTATGCTCATTCGTTGACGTTGAGAGGTAATGTTTTGGAGAGCAACAGGCTGATGATTTTAACCATTTCAAATTGGGCACTCGAGAGATTATGGCATGTGAAACAAAATAGAAGAAAACGTGAATGTCATGAGAAATGTGTGTGCGTGTTCCTTTTTTTTTTTAAAAAAAAAAATCACACTATACTCCAACGAATTTGAGTCAAAGCTAAATTGAACCACAAGGACAGCGAAGTTATTTAAACAAGCTTAAATCTAAGACCGTTGAGTAAGTTTAATTTTATTTTTATGTTATATTCCTTTTGGCTCAAAATTTAAGTCGGTACTAACTAATTTATGTTTTCCAAAAAAAGTTGGTTGATATCTTTATTTTCTTAAAAATATTTACATCTTTTCATTTATGCCCTTATTAATTTCATTAAAGCAAGGATATAAATGTTAAAAACAAATAAAATTTATCCAATATCTTATATTTTGAATCAAAGAGAATTTTAAAAAATGGCTTATATTGTAATTTGAAAATGGTATTTTGTTTGTCCAATCCAAACTAATCCTGAGATAAATGAACATACTCCAAAAGTACTGTAAGAATTGTTGAACTTTTGCTTATTCCTCAAGATATTGAAAATGTTTCTTTTGTCTGTCTACGTCATCAAATTCACAATCCCCTGACCTGTAAGGAAACCATGGTTTTAACCTTTTGTTTGGCAAAGTGTATTAAGATGTGGACTGGTTATAGCAGATGACAATTACAAATTCGTGTGACTACGAAGTTGATGAGAATAATTTATAGTTCTAAATTGCAGTTTTAAACAAAAACGTCAAAGGAAATGTACCATAACGTGTCCTTCACTTCAAATACCACCTACCGGGATCTAAATCCGATGTTGTTGAGGAAACAATGACAATAATGCAACACAGCACGAAAGGAGAAACACCAAAATCCGAGGTATAGAAATTTAGGTTGACCAGCGAACTATCTAGCAAGATTTTTTTTTTTTTTTTTGCTTTATATGTATGACTTGTCGAGTATAGTTTAAAATATGTAAACAATTTTTTTATATTTAGAAATATAGATTAGCAAAACAAATTATTTGTTACCTTTTCATTAAAACTTAAACGTCTTGCCTTCTCCATCTTCCCTTTTATTTATTTCAATTTTTTAATTTTGTTTTTCATTTTGTTCACTCTCAAAATGGGATATTGACTAGTGTCCTCTACGAGGTCGCCAAATAAAATCTTGGTAGAGACCCACGAGTACTCGTTTGCAGAATTTAAGTAGTTTTAATTTTGAGGAAAATTTTAAACATAAAACACTATTATTTTGTATTTAGTATAATTTTTAATCCCTAAATTTTTTCTCGACTATCAAACTAGTCCTTAAATTTTGAATCAAAATAACTCAATTCTTATAATTTCTTAACTTAATTAAAACAACTTGATCCTTACAATTTTTTAACTCATTGTAACATAATTTCTATAATTTCTCAACACAACAAATTACAATATATGAGTCATACTCAGTAAAAAGTTAGAGACTAAATCAATCATTAAAGTAAATTTAGAGCTTAAAAATTATATTATCCTGATAATTTTATGTTAACTATCAAGGGATGTTTAGTTCAACTAATCAAAATAATTGAATGAGTTTATTTTGAAAGCTCAAGGTGAAATCTTGGGATAAGTAGTGGCATGAATAAATATGTTAAAAGTATCATTGAATATCTCGGGAAGTTGTTATTGATAATAGCACTCCACATAGCAGGGGTTTTGATTAGTTTAAAGGCGTGGTGGTAATACACCTAGGTTTCTTAGGATACTAGATGATGAAATGAAAAAAATAAATTCTATGTTAACTTAATAGGAAAATGATAGAAATGTACTTTTAAAATATATAAATGATAATTAGGTACAACAAAATGTGATAACTATTTTCTAGCCCATGGAGACTTGCATGGCATTTTTGTGAAATGATATATTTGCTCTTGTTTTAAAATTTATCAGTAAAATCTAACAAATAAAAGTTAATTACTACTTTCTTACAAAAAAAAAAAGGACTGATTTTCTTTGAAGATTAGAACGAACTAGCAAATTACAAGTTTTGTTGGCCATCTTCTTTTATTTTTAGAAGGCTCTTTTCACATTAAAACATTCAAAACAAGTCTCAAGGGTGACCAGAAAATATTAATTATTACATCTCGAGAAATATCTATTTGTGATTTGTATATTTCATGTCATTCCCCCTAACTTAACTTTCTCAGATATTATTAAGAGCATGCAGCCAGTTGGCAAAGAACTAAAGACAGTGGGCAGAATCATAATTAAGGAATTCATTGTGGGCATCGCCAACCCTACTAGATTACTTGTGTGTTTTTGTCCTTTCATTGTCTCTCTCTCTCTATAATGCCTGCAAGTCGATATATCCATGGTTGGGTTCTCATAGTTAGAGCCCCTCGCCCCAATAATATCATCGGAAGCTATGGCTTCCAGTAATCGCTCTTCAGCAGACGGCACTGCAAAAGAACGTCTTCGTTGGACTCAGCAACTCCATGACCTCTTCGTTGAAGCCGTCAATAGACTTGGTGGCCCTGATAGTACGTACATTTATGTATTTACTACATATATACCTTGTTAATAATATTAATTAATTATTTCCCAGAATTAATATATTTTCCTGCTTAATTAATTTCTCTGCCTTCATCTTCTTGGTTTAACATTATTGTGTGAATTCGGGTTTGCAGGAGCAACACCAAAGAGTATAGTGAAGGAGATAACGAGTATGGGGGTATCTGGAATCACTGTTTATCACGTCAAAAGCCACTTGCAGGTTCTCTTAATTAGACTCCAGATTATGAATTCTTCAACTATACTTAATTAATGATTAAATTAACAAGCTTTGTTTTTAATTTCTTCAGAAATACAGGATTAACAAGTTGATTCCAGAATCTGCTACTAGTAAGTTCTTAAAATATTGTTGTCCAAAAAAAAAAGGTTGGAGAAATTGGGCTGTGACATATTTAAAAATTTTTATTTCATAAACCAATTAATTAATTCTTTGATTATTAATTAGTGATCTGTAATTTTTTTTGTAAAGGAAGTAAGCTTGAGAGAAGAAGTCTATCGGACATACTGCCTAATTTCAGCACATTGAGGTGAGTCAACGATTCATTCTTCATAATTTTATATGCTATTGTCAATTATTCGGAATATATAGCTGACTTATGTAATATTAATATTAATATTTAATTATTTTTGCTTGTTCATGGTAATATTTAATTAATATACAAGCAGCACGCTTCAGCTCAAGGAAGCTCTACAATTGCAAATGGAAGTGCAAAAAGGCTTGAGCGACCACCTAGAGGTACATTTAATTTTCGTAATTAATAAATTTGCAAATTAATTCAATTTTTATATTAAATCTTTTCGGTATTTTAATTTTAATCATACATAATATTTGAAACTTTTATAACATGCATGAGTTTTTAGGATATGAATCTTTTAATAGATCAACTGAAAAAAAAAAAACAGTTTAAATAACAGTAGATGAGTTCCTAATGGAAATTAATTTTTTTTAGAAAAATAACAAACTAGCCAGGCACTGAAAATATTGTTTGATTGAAATGGAATTGAAAGGTTCAAAGGAGCTTGAAGCTAAAAATGGAAGCTCAAGGGAAGTACTTGGAGAGACTGGGACAAAGTTATCAAAACTCAACAATCTCAAGAAAACCTTCTGGGAAGCATCAGAATACTGCACCTACAGCCACACCAATGCCGTGTCTTTCTGAGGAATCTGATGATTATTATTCCAAGCGCAGTGGGTCCAACGTTGTCACACACAAAAAGCAAAGAGTCAATAAAGATGACACCATTAGGGTTAATTTCCCTGCAAGTTTGGAGCTTGCTGGTTCTTCATCAACATCATCATCACCCACTCCGGAATTCTGCAACCAAAACTGGGATCTACTTCCTTGGAATCGGCTCGAAGCTTCATTTTCATGTCAATCACCTTGGTTCCAAGCTTCTTGTTGTGAGAATTTTGTGTTGTTGGAATAAATATCGTTGTTAAATGAATCAAATAAAGGAGGGAAATACATAATACACACACGTTAATTATGATATGATTATTAGTGTTTACTTTGTATATTTGGGACGTGTTTGCTTGAAGGACCTACGGCAGAAGAAGGAAAGCTTCATGTAACATTCTATAATGCTTTCTGATGACAATAAAAGTTTGAGCTTGATTATTAGAATATATTAATTAAGAATTGTTGATATATGTGGAAGCATCATATATTCTATAACAGAAGATATTATAAATATCAGTACATCAGTATATGATATAAAATCAATAAAATCAATGTCTTCTATAAATTTACCTATATATATATATAATAATCATTAATTATGACTCATTCCTCAAGTTTCAGATGACACATATATACAAAATTAAATCCTAATTCCTCATCGGTATATAAGCTCATGCATGTGTTTGTAGCAAATTTATCCCAATTCTCTAAATCCTTTTATATTTTTCATCAACTTTTTCCCAAATTATATCGGATATTTCTTTCATTAATTATAAAAATATAATTTGACCCTTCAATTCATTTATTTATACACACATATAATTAATTTTGCAGGATGTGCTTTTCGATTTGACAGCACATGGGGGATAGGGATATCATTGTTCTGATATCATATGCTTTCTGAAACGAGTGACGTTACAGATTGAGGAATTAAGGTGAATGGCTGGATTGGTATGCTGTGGTGTGGTGGGTTCATTGTCATTAAAAACGTGCTATGTTAGTCCCACAACTACTCACTATATGATATTTCCACTCGTATATTGGAATTGAATCTCAAGTGTGAGTAGGCCTGACGTCAAATAATGGAAGAAGTGAGAAATTCTCACAACATATATGAATTACATTGAACTTAATAATACGTATGTATGTAAGTAAAATACATTAATGTTTTGACTTATAATCTGTTGAGATCACTTGTATGCATCTTCTCTCTCTCTCTGTTTTTTTCTTTTTTGGTTTGCTTTACGTAGGCCATAGCATCAGATTACGGAGAAATTAAAGAAAAATGAGAAGTATGAAGATACATATATATTAGCTTAGAGCGAGTCCGTACACGGTGAGAGAGCTAAGGAGCATCACATGCGGCATGTCCATGATCACTTATCCGCCATGATCTTATATATTTCTTCATGTCTATTCATGTATGGAAAAATATGTAATTAACATATTGTTCGTCAATCATTATGTATAGTAAGTTTAAATACACAAAACCTTTTTCCTATTTTGCATAAAAAAAAGTGTATAATTTTTGTTTAGAATGTACACTGACCCTGCAGTGAAGTTCATCGATAATCAACAACCACTACAAAAAAATCAATGCACCAGCAGCATTTTTCTGCAGCGTTTATTTCAATGTCAACATTGGCAGCATTTAAGTTGGCGTTTCATAAACGTCTCCAGCGGAGGCATTTCATAAAGGCCTCCACTGGAGGTGTTTCTATTCTAGTGGAGGTGTTTTTCAAAAAAAAAAAAAACATTTCTATTGCAAGTTTTAAGTCTGTATATATCTTTTTCATTTTATTTTAAATTGTGTCATTTCTCCTCTCCACTCAAGTCTCTTTCCAGCAGAAATTGTCAGATCTTTGAGAGGGTTTCCTGGAAACACTCCCAAAGACAGAGGCACTTCTAGAACGCCCCCCCCCCCCTGTGGAGGTGTTTTTCACAACAAAAATGCTGCCGTCTGAATTTTTTTGACAAGTTCAACGTTTCTGAAAAATGGCGCATATGTTGTCTCGAAAAAGTTTAGATGGCGTTTTTGAAAAAGCGCCGGAATTGTCACCCAAGGCATTTTAAAACGCTGACAATGACGAATAAAAATGCCCCTTGAGCAAACGCTTTTTTTAAATTTTTGGTGGTGAACCTTTTTTCTTGTATCTTCTTGAGAGAAAAGAAGAATGAGATCTTTAATTTGGATATCCTCTACATTTATGATGAAATGATCAAGATGCGAGGTATAAACTATAAACCTTTCACACAAGTGTCACTTCTGAATCTATGAATACATGAATGTAAAAGATTTGATTTCTTGATAAATTTAAACGACATTTAGGGTCCATCTGATTCAGTTGTGGGTTACCACTACTGTAATGGCAATCATGATGATTAACAAAAGAGTGGCATTTGATCATATTCTTAAGTAGTTACGTAGGGGACTATATATATGAATCCATTGCAATCCAAAAAATTATTCATGCACCCCTCACATATTATTTTACCCTAGCTTTTCAACTGCTTCATCGTTCTTCGTCACTTTCCTTCTCAAAAGCCATCGTAACTTCTAAAATGCACCATTCTTCTCTAGTGATCTGACACAACATCGGTCTAGCTAGTTCCATATGCTTCAATTGTTTTTTTCTTATTTTCTTGATCTCTGTTTAATCTTTTGTTCAAAGGGGGCTATATATGATGATTAATGTTAACTGTGTTGTTTGATTAAACTCGGCCATGTTGAATAATATTGTGTTCTGATGAGTATGGTTTGAAGGTGCAAGTAGATCGATGATGGAGGAAATAAACTTTTCATAAATTTTAATTTCATTCTTTATTTAGAAAAGTACTCCCTTCGTCTTAAGTTATAAGACATTTTAAGTAAAATTATACATACCAATAAATTTCATTAAATGTACTTGATAACTTTATCTTTTCAAAACAAAAATATAAACTTTTAAAAAATACCTATAATTTAATCTATTGAAAAGAGAATGGACAAAAATTAATTATAAGGAGAGAAAGGAAAGCATAAAAATTGATGCATTTAATGAAACTTTAATATACTTAAAGTGTTTTATATTTTAAGATAGAAAAACTCATTCATAAGTGCCTTATAATTTAAGATGGAGAAAGTAAAATTTCTCTTATGGCAATTAACATTGCACTACATTATTCCAATATCAGAAAAGCTAGGAATTTAACCAAACAAGCCCTTATATATATCACTAGAGATGTTGGAGTACCACATGAGTTGTTTAACTTTATAATTGGTCCACCATGTGTTTTACATTTTATTACTAGAAAATAAAAGAAAAAAAAGGAAAAGTGGTATGAGCTATATATATATATATATATATATATGATAGAAAAAACATTTAATGTACATTGCACTTTATTGTTTGCACTTTGGCGTGAAGCGACACCTCAAAGCCCCACTATTTAACTTTGTGCGTCTTTTTATGTCGTTCTTATTGCTCAATTTTTTGTCACATGCTCTATATTTTCCTTCACTATCACATGCAGACATGAAGCTTTTGTTAAGGTATTCTGCACCACAGTACTGTATCATCCCTCTCAATTCCCACTCTCCACTGTGGATTTTCTTCCTTTGATTGACCAGCAATAATGGAAAAGTATGTCACTTTTCGTTTTACTATTATTTTTTTATTTATGATCTCCATTAGTTTATTATATATATAATTATATATAGCCATCTGTGTATTAAAATTTTTAAAACTTATTGTATTAAACATGCATATTATGTACTCTCTCTAATCCTATTTATAAATTACTTTTAATATATTTTACTAGAATTTTAAAAAATTTTAAACCTCATTTACTCTATTTTAAAATTTAATAAGTTTCTTCCTATACCCTCTAATAAGGACAAAAAGAATTATTTTTAATAATTTTTTCTAGTATTTAATAAAGACAAATTAAAAAGTAAAGGTGAATATATAGAAAATAGCCCTATAAATAGAACCATAATTAATTTTCATTTTTTGCCCTATAAATAGGGCCAGAAGAGTAGCTAGTGTCCATTAATTTATGGAACATATAGAAGACAATTGTTTACTCGCAGATATCATAAAAAAGTGACCCAGCATAGCAATATAATTTGACTGGGTGGAAGAGAGAAAGGTTATTTCATTATTAATGGGATATATAAAGATAGACATGATGGAATTATTACATTTACTTAATTATTGTAGTGATTTAAAGACTGAACTTGAGATTTGCCACAAAGTCCTTTGGTCCTAACGAAGACTCTGTATTGATCGAAAGTCATGGGACGATAGAGAGGTGGCCTTTCCTCTGTCAGAAGCTCCTTGGCTGGCTCGATTACTGCATCACTCTTTGGGTTATAGAAGAAAGCCAGCGACACTCTGTCAGTCTGTGAGTTCACCACCACCTTATGCTCCACACTCTTGTATATTTCATTGCTCACAATCTGCACATAATTACACATCTACATCAATATCAGAGTGTGTGTGTGTGTGTGTGTGTGTGTGTGTGACAATACAACTCAGTTATTAGAGTCCGCTCAAAGCATATGAACATTCAGGGGATGTGGAGAGAGGGAGAGACCTGAAGTTGGTCGCCGAGGTTGATAATGAAGGCATCAGGAAGAGGTTTAACGGAGATCCAACGATCGTCTTTGAGGACTTGGAGGCCGGAGACATGATCATCAGGAAGCAGAATAGTCAGACCTCCGGGATCAGAATGTGGTGAGATGCCAAGTGTGAGATCAGGTTGTGGGCACTTTGGATAGAAATTGACCCTCAAGCAACCACCAATCCCTTCTTCTCCTCCAAATGCATTTAGAAGATAATCTTCCTGCAACCCTAGATTCCTTGACATTATCTTCAGTATCCTTCCTCCTAGCTTCACCACTTCCTCTCCATATTCATCAACCACTTCCCTTCACCACACCAAGAAAAAAAAAACAAACCATTTATTGATTTAGATAAATATTAATCAATTAATTCACAAACATGTTCAGAGAGTTGACTGATAATAAAAATGAAAAGAATTAGAGTAGTAATTAAAAAAATAATGATAATGGTTGGGTACTTGGGTTTGTCTTCTTTTGACAATCTCTTGTCTACACATAGACTAACATCTGCTTTTTGTATGCTTTATTTGGACACTGTTTTTACACTTTCTTCATCATAAAGGGCAGCCACATATAAATGTGATGCACAGACCAACACATGAATTACTCATCAGATATAAAACATGGATGGGTAAGGCAAGATTTAAATTAAAACTATACAAACTCTGGCCATCAATATTTACAGAATTGGTAATTGATGTTTTAAGTAATTCTCCTTAATGAATCCTGTTGGTTATTTGACCTGCTTTTGTTCGCAAGCTGATGTTTTTCGTGCTGATAATCAATTTTTCTTTTTGTCACCACGTTTTGCATGGGATTGTATTTTCAATACTTGGCACCACGTCATTGGTAGGTAGACTTTCAGAATTCCAAAGTTGAATCTTCCAACTCGTGAAGAAATGAGTTCGGTCCCTCTATTGTCAGTATATATCAAAAAGTAAAAAAGCACGATACACATATATAGTATCTACTATCTAATGGTGTACAGTACATTATATGCAATCTGAAGGATGAGCAATGCGATCTTTATGAGTTACAAATAACAATTTGGCACTAGATTTTATATTTTATATTCACATTGACATATTGATTTATTTTAATTTTTTATAAAAATACTATCAAAAATAAAAAAATCTAAATCAAATAAAAAATCAAAATATTACATAAGTTACACTTACTGCTGCTACTTTTGGGAATTGGATCAGGATCTATTTAAGCAACAGAGGACTTAGTTGTTTCTTTTCAAAAAGAAAAGTAAAAAAATACAGAAGAAAAGCTTTTAGGAACATCATATTCTAACAATGAAAAGGTAGGTCGTCCTCATGTGCAACATGGTTTCAAGCGCCTTCCAAATTGACGGGTCCAAAAAGCTTTTGAAATTTCCGCACTTGTGCGTTGTGACTAATCCCCCTTCCCTACCACTATTAATTTGAACCTAAAATGCCGTTCTAATAAGTGCTATATATACTTCTTCCAAACTACAATATAAATCTCTTTTTAGAAGCACCTCTTAATTAAAAAATGTGGGGTATTGAATAAGTTTTATACATTTTTACTATATATAAATTTACTTTTTTTATATTTCTTATCTTTAAATGCTCCACATTTAAAAACTATATACATGTTTTAGAAAAATTTAAAGGCATAAATATAAAGATGGGGGTATTTTTTAAGAAAATAGAATTTCAACTAACATTTTTTTATAAAACGTAAATTAATTACTAATGATATATATTGTAGTTAGGCCTTAGGAGGGAGTTTGCGTTAAGAAAAAGGTTTGAGTGAAGTTGAATCTATTGAAAATAAATAAATAAAATTAGGCATGAATTATTTAAATATATGTAATAAATACGTTGACAACTAAATCTTCGGCCAAAAAAATACATATCACTATTAGGCTGCTTTTTCTATTTTTCCTTTTTTATTTTTGGTATAATATAATTATGGGAGTGATGTGGTTTAGAGTAGCACAGCTAACTATCAACTATATTTTCTCAAAAGGCTCGCCTATGTCAACTATATTTTCTCAATAAAGGAATGGACACAATGAACTCTTCATAGTTTGACGAATATATATATTATTAAACTCTCTCAACCATATCTCTGACTACTCCCTCCGTTTTTATTTTTTTAAAAAATATTATTTTTAATTTATTTTTTTATACAAGTAAAATAATATTTTGTAATAAGCATTTATTATAAATTTTTTAAATTATCCCTCATAATTTTATCATTTACAGTCATAAAAAATAATTAATAAAAGTTTGATGAACACAATTAATTAAAGATTTTTTAGTTTATAATTAATATAATAAATCAAATTTTTTAAATTGTATTATACAGTTTTTTTTCATCAATAAAGATAGAAGGAGTTGGTGGAAAGAATTAAAAAAAATTACATACATGTCCTATATAAAAAAATTAATTAATCATTACGAGATTTATTAATAACTGACATGAGGTGATTTACAATATGTTCACAATGTGTTATAAATTATCTTATATTAATTATTAATAAATTTTATAATAATTAATTTTTTTACGTAAAACTTTAACGTAATCCTAACGTGCTTTGATGAAAATTCTTCATCAAAAAATAGAAAACAAAAGGTGAGGGAGAACGAGAAAAATTCAAGCCACTAACTAGCTAGCTGTGACGTAAAAGTTGACTTGTGGAGAAATATGTGGGTGTGATGTTGTTGCCTAATTGAGAAATAAGTGGGTAAATGAAAAAGAAGCAAAGTTTGCCCTTAAGATTATCAAGAGAAATAATCCCAACAAATAGCTTTTTACTTTAAAAAGAGAGAGAATTCTAGTGGGCCCCACATATTAGGTGGGACCGGCAATATATGAGAAGATAGAGAAAAATGGAAAAATGGATTTGCATAGAAGAGAAAATAGTTTCTTATAATTTATTACCTCCCATCCTATTTAAAAGGCAAGGAGAAAGAAAAAATTTAATTTTATTTATAAAATATAAGATAAACTTTTTATCATAAAATTTTTCTTTTATTCCCATTAAATATTGGTAAGAAAAATTATACATTTTTAATGGATTTTAGATATATAGTTAATAAGTTTTCAGATTTTTCTTAATTTTAATAAAAATATAAGTTATAAATAAGATGGGAAGAAGTACATCTTTAAAATAGTTTTACTCAAAGAGATAGATACACGATGATAAGGCTCACAAACACGTGTAGAAATGAGCCTGTTATTATGTATCTGTAACAAAACTGATCGATCCATATGCTCAACGAGCTCCTTCATGTTGATGTGTATATTGATACAAATATCTTCCCTTTATAGTTTATCCTAATCTTTTTTCTTTAGGCGGGGAATCCAAGACGCGTCTCTAATATATTTTTTTTTATCTTTATCTACAAATATGCAATAATGAAGTTCACGTTAATATAAAGATTATATTTTAGTTATATAGAACAGTACCTAAGAGACGGCGGAAGAGCAGGCCAGTTGGCTCTGTTGCGAAGAGAAGCAGGCATGAAATGGAGGAAGAAGTAGTCGCTCCAATCCAAAATGGCATCCTTTTGGACTCCCAAGCGGCTGCCGTACCCCTCGTAAGTGGTCGGAGAGTTGGCGAACTTCTCCTTGGCCTCCGGCGTCTGGTTGAAGAACTCCCGCCACACCGCCCTGGCGCTCCTCATCAGGTCCGGCCTCACGCCGTGGTTGACCACCTGAAAGAAGCCCCAGTCGCGGCAAGCCTGGCCGACGAGGCGAAGCATCTCCCCGGGGTCTCCGGCGAGGTCAATGACAGGAATATTAAGATCATGTGAGAAAGAAGGAGGAGAAGCAGTGTGATGGAGGAAGGTGGAGGAAGGAGTCTGAGAGATGAAACGCTTGGGGATGGCGGTTAAGCCACTGTCGGCCAAGGTCTGGACTCGGATGACAGGCTCAGGCCATGTTTGGCAAGCCATGATGAAGAATGTATTGATTAGAGAAAGAGAGGGAGGGAGGGAATTAAGTTGTAAGATAGGTTTGTGTGTGTGATGAGGAGGAGAAGGAAGGGGGCATTTATAAGGAGAATGGAAGAGGGAGGGAGGCTTGTCGATGGCATGTATTTTCGGCGCCGTGAGAAAATTGATTTGCTCGTGTGCCTAGTCACACGTCACCATGCCCGGATCACTCTCCCCCAACTCAAAGTGCCTCCGTGGCCAATAAACTCATCTTAGTCTAATTATAACGTGCAACCTTGTTCTTTTGTATGTAAAAGATTGTGAGCTCGATCTTTCTTATAATCTCATGCTGTTAAGTTTACTCCTCTGATTTAAGAGAAAAAAAATACCTCCATGATGTCAATCATTTTAATTTCATTTTTTTAATTCATAGATACACGTGTCTGTTAGAGACAATCATGATTGCCATAAATTGGATTGCCAAATGGGTACACTTGTTCTTGTTATGACCCGTGGGTTGCATGAGCAGTGTTTTTTAAATCAAAGCTTTTGTGAATAGTGTAACGTGTCTTTCTCACTTAGCTTGCACGATCTTTATCAGGGTGGAACTGGAACCCACTAATCTGACAAATTACAAGATAAAATGTAAATTTTAATAAATGAAATGCAAGCAAATTCTGTTAAAAAAAAATACAAACAAACAAAGCACACAACCCAAGGTAATTAAATTATATTTTTTTCATTGTTCTGTGTTCTGAAAAAATTTGAAAGTATTACGACCTTCCGCCGAATCTAATTTGAATTTCCATTATGTAAGATTATTATTATCAGCAACAACTTCACGAATGTCTCAAAAATACCTTTGACATATTTATTTAACACAATCTTATATCACATGAGTCAAACTTGAGATTTTAAAATAAGTTAATTTAATTTTATTGAACAATTGAATCAACCAATCCTCAATCCGAAGTAAATCTATCATGTGTTATCACTATTTATAAGCCATTGACTTCTTTAAAATACATACATATGATGATGATGATGATGATGATGAGGATGATGATGATTGAATATCGATCATGCCATCATATTTGTATTTGTGGCTGGCTCATTTGATTTTAAATGTGAGATTTCATATAGGTCATTAAATAATAATTAATCATCAAAAGAAATAGTAATTATTATATTTACCATTTCCTTTCATTAAGAAATACCTTTTTTTGAATTGTTAATTAAAAAAATTCTTTTCTTTCTAATTTAAAATTAAGACTTTATAGATAATATTTATAAATAATATATATATATATATATATAATTCTGATAAATAATAGAATATAGATATACAATAATAATATTTTAAACTGGCAGTACATGTAGGAAAAAATCTTCCTCAAATTTTGCAATCTATACCTACCTTTCTTTCTTGAAACAGTTTCAATATGCATTTTTAAGTATATTTTTGTGTTTAAATTTTTTAAAAAAAATGTAGAGTTGGTGTAATATGAAAATAAATATTAAATATGTGAGGGGTTTTGGCCGACTGAAAAATATTAGAATTGAAGTGAAAAAGAAAGGAGGGCCGTTTGATTTTGATTTGAGAGAAAGGGACGGCTCCGAGTGCGGTGCCCCCTCGTTGTTCATGCTTTTATAGTTATTGGACGAGACTGCCGTACTCCCATTTTCCCAATCATTTGAAATATTTTCAGTCGACAAAAGCATCATTTAAATTACTGTATTTTTTTTAAAAATCTACGATTCTAGAATAGTTACTAAACATATTTTATTTTAAAAATAAAAAATATTCTCAACTTCCGAAAAATATCGTAATTATTCTACATATGTATATATGTAAACTCTTTTAAAAATAAAATGTGACGAAAATATTCCAAAAGGTAATTTTCACGCACAATTAATGATCAAGATACTTAATCTGATTGTTTTGCTAACTGTTGCTTTAATTAAATGTCCAAAAGATCAGACTTAGGCATATCGCATGTAATAATGGCATCTAACAACTAACATCTAACCCAAAGCAAAAGTCAAACTAATATCTAACACTAGCTTTTCTATAAATAATGACTTGAACTAGATAAGAGAGCTTTCTGCAACTTTCAGATCCTAGAATCAATAGCTAAACATGTTGTGGAAAGTATGTTTATTTAATTTGTGTATATTTAAAGTTTGTATATTAATTATGGGGTGCAAAGTTTAAACGGGCGGAATGCATATATGACATTTTCTATTGTTTGTATTGGATGGACACACACACAGAGGCTAGAAGTTAAATATTAATTAGTGGCAAGTTGCCAACGATACATAATGTTAATTGTAATATTAGTTGTGAACAACATGTCAATTTAAGTTAATTGATGGAAACAATTAATTTGATTTGTGTTTGAGACTTGAGAGGGAATTGATATTTAATAATTAAGTCTGATTCTGACCTGTATGAAAATATAAATATAAATATAAATCACAATTCCATACTTATTTTTCATTCATTTCTTTTTTATTTACAATATATGAGATGAATTTATGATTTCAAAGGATTGGATATATTTTTTACACAATATTTAAAAAAAAGGACTTGAGGTGCAAATTAACTCATCAACAGATCAATCTCCGACATAAAAAAAAATCGTTTAATTAATAAATAAATTTAAAGAAGGGCAAGTGGGTAGTTGTTCACTTATTTGGAGGTGGGGTGGCGGCAAGTGTACAAATTGCTCTTGCATATTGTTATATGCGGTACATGCATGAATATAATCCTCCTTATTATTAATTACTTTTTTTATTTTTGCTTTGTTTCCTTAAATGATTGCTTTGTTTATCCTAGTACATTTCCAATGTGAATCTGCTTGATCTGTCTCTCTGCTTAGTGCTTTTCTAAAGCTAAAATAGATCACCGAAAACAAAGAAAAAAAATCAAAATAGTATACGTCCCCAAGTTGACAGATTAATTATATGAGATCTTCCTAGTTCAAATATTCAGTGCATGGATCTCCATATAAGCCTATCTTTTGGAAATAAAGTAGCACTATTATATATTAATATTGAGGACAATGATAATTGAAGACCCCATAAAGAAAGAATGATAATTATAGTTAAACAATAATTGAACTCCATATATACCCAATTGTCTTGATGATTTTCAGCACTGTTGGAGCCCTAAAAGCTCATCTATATTGTCTTTCACTTGGTTTCAGACTTCTTTACAATGATGATTGATATTATTCAACGAATAACACTTTAATAGTTCTTATCAAGAAATATGAAAGATCCTCAATCCCTTGCCAATTTAGATCTATTAGTTTATGCAATGCTTTTTTTTTTTAAAGCTAAGAAAGGAAAAAAAAAAAGCATTGCTAAACTTTGAGGTACTATAAATGGAGACAAATCACGTCTCTTAATGATCTCTCATTTCTAGAATATTATTGGTTTCTTAGAAGGAACACCGTTAGGGATCTATAACATTATTCTAGCAGTTGAGTTAATGCAAGAAATTCAGACAACGAAGAAATGGGTGGGATGTCGTTAGCTAGGTTGTTCAGGTGTGACTATATATATATATATATATATTAATCTTCATTTATTTGCCTTTCCTCGTTTCCAAGTAGGCTTTATGATACGTGACCTTTAATTGTGCATTACCCTTTGAGTCAAGGTTTTGAAACAATATAATCAAGTTAAACATCTATTTGCCTGTGCGTTATGTTTCCCCTGCATGATCATCGATGCACAGATCAGAAACAAGGAGAGTGTACAAGTCTTCAAATTGGTCGCGAGGTTCTTTGAATATATATAATGGATGACAAACAAAATTTAAAAGAAGACGTAATTATTTACAAATCATAAATGACGTTACTCATCTCTAACTCCACGTAAATGAAAAACAAATGCTTCAGTTTTAGTTGAAAGAGTGTGTGCGTGTGCGTGTGCGTGTTTATATTTTAATTTTTTATTTAGCTTTTGAAGAATGATGTTTTTATTGAGGATTTAAATCTAATACTAGCAATGTACTCCATCCCATTTTTTTTTAATTATATAACCAAACACTAGCAACTTAATTAAGATTACAAGTAAATGTGTTTGCTTTTGTATAAAAAAATTGCATGTAAAATTGAACTCATAACTTCTTGCTTATAGAGAAGTTTTCAGAACACTGTACCAATACATTCTTGTCATTTGAGTTAGCACAAGAGTAGCAAGTAAAATATATAGCATTTTTTTTTTGGTACCAAGTATTAATGTAGCATTTTAATCCATCTTTGGTTGCAAGCTTTTTTTCATTAAATAATGACGTCGCAAATTTCGTTAAAATCTTTGCTTTTTCAAGTCAATGTCTGCCCAGAGAAGAGACACGTCATCTATTGGGGAAGAGAAATACCGTGTGACAATATGAAAACATACGGGATTTTTTTTTTCCCCCAGCCTTAATAAAATCATATCTTCATTCTTACTCTTCATCTTTCTTATTTTACAGTTTTTTTTTTCGGGGGATGACAATGAAGTTCTATGACATTAAAATGGCAATTAAGACTGGGCTAAATTTTCTAAAAAAAAATAGAAAATATTAATTTACATCATTACAAATACATATAATCAAAAAGTTACATCCAAAATTTTAATGTCTTATAAGCATTTGAAAATTTTTAAATTTACACTTATTTTGATATTTACAACTCCTCTTTTAAAAAAAAATTATAACTGTTATTCTGTTTTTTCTACAGAAAAATATAATATTTTAATTTTTATAATTTTATCGAGTTTTATTTTTAGTTTATGTAATTTTTTAGTGCTTTTAATCTTTATAGGAATTAAAAATATTAAAAAAGTGAAAATTATAGAGACTTAAGAAATAAAAGTCATCCAATTTTTTTAAAATTATAAAATTAAAAATACTGTAAAAAATATGGGAATTGAAAATAAAACTTAATAAAATTATAGAAATAGATGATTGCATTTTTCTTTTCCTAGCCATCAAATTTTTTTTTCTAATGAAAGAAGGGTTGGATAAATTGAATTCAGAGATGCATTAGAGATTAAGACATACTCCTAGATTTAATAAGTATCCACGGAGATGTTATCAATTACTCA